TCGTTTGCTTAGTATCGTCCAGGGCATGAACACAGCTCTACTGTGTACCAAAGGACGGATGTACCTGATCTTATCAAAAGAAGCCAAACCCTGCCTTGGCCATCTTGTCTATAAAACCTGGCCCGATGGCAACACCACAATTGTTCTCTCGAATGTCAACACTGCTCCGTATGTTGTGTCATCTTGGCTATTGCCCTTCGCGGTAGACTTTGGCATGAATTCAGCCGCGGAATCCTGTTCCTTGTGTCCCGAGATGCCTTTGTGTCAGCCAGACCAAGTATCCAATAAGACTGAGGGAGGTCTCTCTCTCTGTCTGTTTCTTTGAGCGTGAAATTTATTTGGGCGACCATTGAGGGACAACTACAAGAGCAGGAAAAGTGGAAACAGGGTAACATGGCCCAATTATCATCACTGTTATTGAAATCAACAATGAAGACCCCCCATGAAACCCACCACACGAGCAGGTCCAGCACTAAGGACAAAGAGCGAAGGTGATGGACGGGGGAAAGAGAGAGCGAGTGAGAGAGATAATTTCATGTCCAACCGAAGAGATAGGGAATGATGTCACCGTGGGGCAACTGTTGGCCTTCTTTCCGCCAACAAAGGGTCATCGTGAACCTCCAACCATGGGTTTCTCCTCGCTTTCAGACCCAAGGATTGCCACAGCACGAGGCCCAACCAGTTGGGGGGTGGTTTTGTGAGGCCTGATGAGCGAATCGGACCTAGGTGGGTAGTAGGACCATGTAACCGGGTTCGGTTCCGTCATTCTATCCTTTTTCGAATGTCGAGCTGGCCGGAGGTGAAGGATAGAAGACCGTAGTAGATAGAGTGGAGGCTAAAATAGCTGCTACATCGGGAGTAGGGAGTCTTGGAGTCTCCAGAGTGAGGAGAAACCGGGGGAAAAAGCGCAGTAGTGCAAGATGTGCCATCGGGCGGGATTGAAATTCATGGGCTAATGACCGGGCACGACGGCTCTACTTCCTTTTCCGACTCTCCGTGACGAATATATATTGTTCAGATTATCTTGATATATTCCCTGTAGTACTACCTTTAGATGGCCTTGGGCTCGCCGAAAAAAAAAAAAAAAAAAAAAAAAAAAAAAAAAAAAAAAAAAAAAGATTGTGAGGCGTTTGACCCTGTAGGTCCTACAATATACTAAATATTATGGTTTTCTATATGATTCTATACAGTAAGGAGATGCTCGCATAAGGTCGTGTAATATTCAGAAGTATTTCTAGACGTTCAGGATTTACTCGGGGCACAATGCCATCACCAGGCACAATAACTATCTAGTTAGTTAAATCGCTGTATGAATCCACCAAGAGTTGAGTATCCCTCGAAGTCACCTGCCCAACACAGTTTAACGATGGAGTAAGAGAAAATGGAGTCCCCTCACTAACTACGGAGTAAAGGTGGAGATTGCTAGCCTGCGTGCCTCCAATTCCCAACTAACCCACTAGATCAGAATCTTGCCTAATTACAGCCAGACCATGATTGTAGAGAACCCACCTGATTCCCACTTAATCGCGACACTATCATCCCAGTTTGGCCCCTGCTGCTCCGTAGGAAAAGGGTAAGAAGGAATGGTGGGTTTGGGTCAAACAGACGACCACGCTATCTTTTTAGCGTCCAAGACGGCGTTTTCGCTGTGTCGGGCCAGACAGAGTTGAGGGGAGTCGAGTTGTATATACTATTTTCGGGCAATGGGCTAGAAAAGTGAATGGATCCTTGATCCTTGTATCTACATAGTATTATCTCAACGTGGTAGTCTGGTTACATTATTGTTCGTTACTCACCCGCTAGTGTTATAGTTAAGTTGACTGACAGTGTTTATCCATCATCTTCTTTATTTGCGGCTTTGATTGACCACCAACTACTAGTTAGATAATCACCGTGATCATGGTTCTGGACTCTTTAGTCCTTTGCTGCTCTTCCCTTCCTACCTTTCCTGTCTTACTGCTAGATCAACTCCTTTGTTTCTTTTCGCCGAGAAAGTATGTTGATCGTCTGATCCGGGATTTACTTCGTCGAGCCACAGCTAGTGGCAATAACTTTCGTGTGGCAGTCGCAAGGTGTCAGGTGGTTAGGGATGATCAGGGCGTGCAAAGGTCATGCTCATGGAAATATCCTCGCGACAGATTCGTAGCGCAGAAGTGGCCGCCCTTTTGGAGACATGTTCGAGCGGAATACGAGTCTTGCCAGCAAACACCTTGGGAACTCTTAGTTGGCAGTATGACATACGAGAGGAGGGAAGGTGTTCCCGATGCCGTGAAAGTTATGATATCCTGGTCTTACTCCAATCGTTGCAAAAGATCTTTGGCTAATGCAGGCGATCCTGATGAATGACGCGGGTCCCTCAGCGACGCAGGGAGTCCATCCCATCATAAGGTCCGTCACTCTCACTTCGATTTTCCATATCAAGAAGCAGAACGTGTTTTACATTGCCCCATCTATGATGCGTTAAGGATAAAAAAAAACAAACACCGCAACAGTTTTCCGCAGATGATGCTTCCATGCATGCCTAGCAGTCATGTCCATCGGCCAAAGGTTGCCGTCGAGATAAGAGACGAAAAGAAAAGTAGAACAACAGGGGAGGGAAAACAAGACAGGGATACATTCATAGATGAAGGCACAGACAAAATCGAAATGATATCTCGACTGGACCGAAGATGGATCTATACAAAACTTGGTTCCGTGGCGCCAAACGACTGCCTCCCTGGACCAGCAAACCGCATTCGTGGGGGATAACCGATGTGATACACCATCGTCCAAACATGCACATGGAGAGAGAAGAGCTACTAAAACAAATAGTGAAAAAGGTATAAGCCGAGGGCGGATGCAGAGCAATAGCTTCTGTCCTCCCACTTTCAGGTGGGCCCCATTAGCCCCAGCTGCACGTCAGAGTGTGCTTAGAAGGGAGGAGGGACCATGTCCTCAGGGCTCATCTTCTCTTGCTGCTCCATCAGTTCCTCGCCCGCGATCTCAAGGGAAACAGCAAGACCGAGCTTGGCCGTTTGCTAGAGAGAAAAAAAAGATTAGTTATTAATCTACCATTTGGAATTAAAGAGCATTGCAGGAAGTGAAGCTCACCTTGGCCTGATCGATCTCACCGGCAAAAGTAAGAGCGATGGGCATAGCTATCCGCTTCTCCAGGAGGCAGCTAACCTTTCCGGTGCTGTCGACCTGAGCACGGAAAGTGGAAGCACGGAAGTCGTACTTGGCACCAATGGCAGTAGTGCCGTCACGGCTGGGACCACCCATGAGAGCAGCAGCGGCATTAGGCGCGAACTGGAGGTTCATGTCAACACCAGCCTCAACACGCTCGGAGAGCTTCTTCCAGTAGGAGGCGGTGATGACACCCTGAGCCTGCAGCTGAGCACTGGCAATCCAGTCGGCGGTCTTGTAGCGGGCACCGTAGGAGAGAGCAGATTCAGGACGAGAGTTCATGGCCTGGCGCTGCCAGATAGCCTCAAAGCCAAGAGCCAGGTTGGGAGTAACAGACTGAAGGTAGCTTCCGACGAAGATTCCGGTAAGACCACCCTCCAAGTAAGAAGGGTTGAAAGCCTTGAGAGACGCGGAGAAGTCGTCGCCAGTGTAGTCATTATCAAGCTGCATCAAGCCCTGGCCACCGGGCATGATCTGAGTATTGGTCTTGGTGACGAACTTGGGAGTCCAACGGTAGTTGCCGACAGCAGCGAGACCTCCATCGCTTCCGAGGTTGCCTTGCATGAAGACCTAGAGTTCCAACGAGAGTTTTTTAGTCACCCACACATAATATATATCTAGAGGTAAGATATAACAATTGCACCTTACCTTTGGACTTCCGTACATGGCGGAGAAGTTGTATGGGGGCATGTTGCCGGATCCGCCCATGGAGAAAGCGTGCGACACACGGAAGAGAGGAGACATGCCGAAAACCTTGGTCAGGTCCGCCCGGAGACCGGTGAACATGAAGTTGGACAGCAGGACATCCTTCTGCACCTCCCGGGAGATGTTGTCCAAGGTGCCAGGGTTGGGAAGGCCGAGGGCGGCCCTGCGCTCGGAGAACGAGGTGTATGCATCCTTGAAGGCCGCGGCCACGGAATTGTCCGTGAGGAAGGAAGGCAAGGCTAGAGAGTCGGACATTATGAAGTCTGAGGAGATATTAAAGGTCGTTATACAGGATAGAAGAAAAATGGAGGGTGATCGTTATACGCGGTTCGACCTTGTTGGGGGAGGAGAGAGGAAAAGAGAAGAGACCTCGTTGAGACCAGCCCGGAAATTGAACCTGGAAAGGCGAAGAGCAACGTGAGGGATAACACGACGCTCTTGCTAATTGACGGGTAAGGGTTGTGTCCGACCTGCTCTGGGGGGTTGAGAGGAGGGAGGTTGAACACCAGGGCAGATGGATTGAGGGAGTGAGATGGATGAGATGGTGATGGGGAAGTTCAGTTTCCAGGCGTTCTTTCGACAGCCAGAGCTTTCGGCTTTGAAAAAAGTGACTGGCGCCTTTCCGCCCCGGCTGCGCTGGACTGTCGCTGTGCTGCGCCGTAGTTCCCTCAATTTAGTCTAGCCCGCTTCGGGCTGCGCCGGGATTGGGATCTTTAGTTTGGCCGGCGATGATATAATCCTCTAAGTTATCTAGTTCACTTGCTAACTAACTGACTAGTTCATCTCTCTCAATTGATGAAGAAGGGGAGAAAGACAAGAAGATATCCCATGACTCCCAGCATCTTCTTTTTTTTTGGTGAATTGTTGTACTCAATTTGTCTTGACTCACAAACCCTTCCCATCTCTGTTTCTCTCTCTTTCCTCGGGGACAAGCAACCAATCGGGTGTAGATCGGTCTATAGTTTATACCACCGACGGTGTACAGCTCTACTACTACTCTTACCAACTACTATCAGTTAGTTACTGACAGTTACATCAACTGATTTGACTTTGCTGCCGCCCGATTGGGCTGCCTTATTTTATTTTACCTGAGTGTCTCCTTACAAAAGCTACTTATAACTACTACCTAATCTTCCGTTGTTACTGGGACTTGCTTTTGTGCGGGGATGTACTGAGTGCCTTCCTTACGTCTCTATCGCTCTCCTACCGATACCCCTCGTCAGCCCAGCCGAAGCTTGACTCTAATCTTCCTTCTCCCCGAAGTATCCCATCCCATTTCATCCCGCCATTATTATCACTGCAGCCATGGATACCCTACTGTAAGCTCGACTCAGTCCATCTTTCCTCAATATGTTTCACTTCTTCTCTGGATCGTCGTATCGGGAACGGAGAACTTGCGATACTGCCGAATCGTTCCCGATTATCGATCTCACTTGCTCTAACGTACTCCTAGAACCGCGGACATCGTTGCCAACTCCCCGCGATTCCGGCGCAAGTCGTCCACTTTCGTCGATGCAATTCACGATCTGCCTGAAAAGGCCGATTTGGCTCCTGCGCAGCTCTACAGCACCGAATCCGGCCGACTCTTCCACTCCGGCCGCATTGTCATCATCACGGTAGGATTGCCGGCAAGAGGCAAGACGTTCGTTTGACCAATCCCATTCGTCATTGGCCCACTCCATTAATCAACCTTTGCTCAGACACATGTCAGTCGCTCTGGCACGTTACCTTCGCTGGTAAGCGCACTACTCGGCTCATGGCTCTATCGCTAGCAGAATCGAACTGACATCATCGCAGGTTGGGTGTCAAGACAAGAATATTCCACCTGGGCGATTATCGACGTGCTACCATCCCTTACGGCCAAGATATTCCTGACGACTACTTCTTTGTCAACGGTACGCGATGACCTCTATATATCCATGCAGACATACTTAGGCCCGCCTGAGTGGCTGATTGACCACCTTGCTTGGACGACCTCGCTTGCTAACGGGACATATAGCATCGGCTTCATCTGTGCTCTTAAGGCAAAAGATCGTTAAGCGATGTCGCGAAGATATATACCACTTTTTGAATCACGAGAACGGGCAGATAGCGATATACGATGCGGTCAATCCCATCGCTTCCGGTCGACGGTCACTCGCCAAGGAATTTTCCAAGCACGATATAGAGGTACTCGAAATCACCTTACCCGTAGAGTCACACATCTGCTAATCCTGCCCTCTATGGCACCAGACTCTGTTCATTGAATCGTGGTGTGACGATGAACGCATAATCGAGGAGAATGTTCGAAGGGTCAAGATATCCTCACCCGACGTACGTGTAGCTACAATGGATCCCCGAGTCTGTCGCGCATACTCACCCTTGGCAGTACGTAGGGTGGTCTTCGGAAGATGCGGTCAAACATTATTTGACCAGGATAGCTGCCCGTATCCCCCAATTCCAGACCATGGAAGAGACGGACCTCAATTACATCAAGGTATCTGCTGTATTCTGCATGACGGGGCTTCTTTCGCTAACTCCTCACCAGATGATCAACGCAGGTGAACGTTTGATTGTAAACAACAAAAGCTTTGGTTATCTCTCTAATCGGATTGTGTTCTACCTCTTGAATCTCCATATCAAATCAAGACACACATATTTCGCCAGAGTGAGTCTGCCCGTTGCGACGCATATTGGCAGGGGAGTACTTAAATGACTGACGGAAATTTGTGCGACCAGGCTGGTGTTTCACTGGAAGCAGGCTCATACAAAGCAGATGCCTCACTGTCTGAGCAAGGGGAAGAATACGCCAAAAAGATGACAGAATGCTTGCTGCAGCACAGGGAGGCTGAAAGACAGGCTATGGCCGACCAAGGGGAAAAAGACTATGAACTGAAGCCGCTGACAGTCTGGACATCTACACGACGGAGGACAGTTGAAACCGCCAAGTATCTTCATGAGAAAGGATACAAAGTACGGCAACGATCACAAATGAGCCAGTTAAACCCCGGCGTATGCGAGATGATGTCGGAACGGAAGATCCGTCAGGAGTATCCGGACGAGGTGGCGAAGCATGATCTTGACCCCTATCACCATCGTTACCCTCGAGCAGAGGTAGGTCGTGTCGTTGTTTTCGTTTAGCCATGGGAATCTCGGAACTGACTGGAATGGTAGTCCTACCATGACCTTGCGGTGCGGCTGGAGCCGATTATTCTGGAGCTTGAGCGCGAGCAGAATGATCTCTTGATCATTGCGCACGAGAGTGTACTAAGAGTTCTTTATGGATACCTGATGGCATGCAATGCAGCCGACATTCCATTCCTGGAATTCCCGCGGGACGAAATAATTGAAGTGAGGCGATTTTACAGGTCTAATGGCGTTGAACACCCCAGCTAACTGACTTACTTCAGATAATACCCGAAAGCTATCAGAACGAGGCGCGTCGAATCCACATCCCTGGTCTACCCAAAGAGATCATCCCTGGCTCACCCGAAGACATCAAGATTCCCGTCCCACCGAGTGGGATGATGACCCCGCTGGCTGGGGGACTTGGAAGCCCAAAGGAAGGCCTCGCAACGCCGCAGAGTGGCCTTCGAACTCCTCGGGAGCCCGAGAGGATCTCACAGCAGCATGTGGAAGATGTTGTCTAGAATCGCATTCCATCTTGTATATAGAACCCCGCGACCGCTTGCCCGTAGGAGTATCATCGGTACGATTGTGAACGTAGACAGTCATTAGCGCTAGCCCCCATGAAGCGTAGAAACGAAGACAATGTTATCATTTTGTTGAAGTTCGTAGTTCTCCTCGCCTTCGAGCTCCCAATCGGCGTCGTTGATGAGAACCAAGATTCCCGGTCGACTGTTCGCCCAACGTCAGTGTTCTTGCCTTGCCGTGTATTCCCATACGGTGAACGTACACATTGCCTTCCAGTATGAACAATTCCTGCCTCTGATCCTTCATGTAGTTCTTCACCAGATGACCCAGGAGGTAGCTGATAGTTGGCCGGCTGCCGTCGTCAAGAAGCGAAGGTAGCGTGACGTGGTGTTTGCGCTCATTGGCAAACAAGATCTCCAGACCTCCCCTGTTTGCGAAAGCCGAATCAGTAATGAGTGCAAACCTGGGGTGCTTGCATGATATGGGTGAGAGCCGAACGTGAACTCAACGGTGATAGCAATGGAGCCGGAGCCATCTTTGCCCAGATCAGGGGCTCCAGAATTCGTGGCCATGCTTATCTATCGAAGGAAATGTGTACAGCCGATGTCCTAGTCAATATTTAAGTGAATTGGGGTAGCCGTGGGATCGTGAAGGCTCGTGGACAAGACCTAGAAATTGCGACGAGGATGGAGATGGAGGGGTTGGCAGACGACGGGGTCCGGATTTCTCGCTGCTTATCGATAAGCCGCCCAGTTTGCCGGCACAAAAAGTCGGCTGGCTGTGCGATCCATCTGAACATGGTTGGTTGGTGACGAACAACCACGCCCCTCGCTCCTACTTCTTTGTCGGTCTGTGGCTCTATCAGCCTGCTTGATTTCCTTCGGAAACACCTGGACTTAATTGCTCGAACTTCCGACCTGGACGAGCTTCATGGTCTCCATCACGACCGAGTACATCAGCGTCGGGGGCAATAGGCATCCCGCCGCCGCTGACTGGGACGTCCAGTCAGGCGTGCTTGCCTTTGGCGCAGATAACAATGTTGCTCTCTGGGATCCCCGAGTAAGTTACTCCTCAAATATTTGCTTGGTTACTTTCAAGATGGTGGTGGTTGATGCTGATGGTGGGGCCTTGGGTGATGATGTAGGAGAGCTCGCAGCGCGGGGTCTATTCGCTTCTTGTCGGCCACACCGACAAGGTCAGTGTCGTTCGGTTCTACACATGCCCTTCCACCGGCACGAAACTTCTCTTGACTGGTTCTGTTGATCATACGGTCCGGTTATGGCGCCCCGATCCAGTAAATCCCCGCCAGTTCGTTCACGCGCATACTTTGGAAGGACATACCGGCTCAGTCAATACTATCGCCGTAGCTGAAGGATTAGACATTATCGCATCGGGCGCAGCTGATGCTAGTGTGAAGATATGGAAGATCAGCGCGCAGGGAGAGCCAAAGGGCGAACTCTTGGAATCCATTCCCATGAAGCCACGCTTCTTTCCGTTGGCTTTGGCATTGACCCCGCTCCAAACGGAGTCGAACGATAGACCTGTGGCTTTCGCGGTGGCAGGGACCACCAACATTGTGCAGATATATGCAGCAGAGAACACTCTTGTCGACCCCGATTTCAAGCTTGCGGCTGTGCTGTCCGGACACGAGGCGTGGGTGCGCTCCTTGTCTTTCACATCGGATAAGCAAAGCAAGATGGGCGATTTGCTGTTGGCCTCGGCAAGCCAAGACAAGTATGTTCGACTCTGGCGATTCCAACGTGGAGAGGTTACGCAGGCCACGCCGGCGTGTGATGATGATCCTATGCTGGGTGGCTTCGAGCCCACGCTATCGAATAAGGCGCACCAGTTCACCGCGGCGGGGACCAAATACTCTGTTACATTCGAAGCTCTCTTGTTCGGAAATGAGGATTGGATTTACACGACTGCGTGGAACCCTGACCCGGAGCGCCAGCAACTCCTCACTGCATCGGCAGACAACACATTGACCATTTGGGAACAAGATCCGGTTTCGGGAGTGTGGCTTTCTGCCGAAAGAATGGGAGAGATCAGTGTTCAGAAAGGTTCCACTACAGCTACTGGTAGTACTGGTGGGTTCTGGATTGGTCTTTGGGCCCCAGACGGCAAGCAAGTCGTGAGTCTGGGCCGCACTGGAAGCTGGCGCTCGTGGAAGTATGATGCGGAAACCGATATGTGGGCGCAATCCTTGGGTATCTCAGGGCATGTGCGGGCATCCAACGGGGTCCAATGGGAGCCTACTGGAGGATATCTCCTGTCGACAAGTGCGGATCAAACGACACGTCTGCATGCTCAGTGGCTGCGTGATGGACTGAAGTCATGGCATGAATTTTCACGACCTCAGATTCATGGATACGATTTGAATTGCGTGGATACCCTGGGCCCGGCTCGGTTCGTGTCCGGCGCGGAAGAAAAGCTACTGCGAGTATTTAACGAGCCTGCGCCTATCGCACAGCTCCTAGAGAAGCTTTCGGGGTTCAAGCAGACGACCGAAGGGGCATTACCGGACACGGCACAGATTCCCGTCCTAGGACTGTCTAACCAGGCCCCGGCCGATGATGCGCCTACAGGTGAAGATGGAGTAGAGGGCGAGGAAGTTGGCAAAGCTCAGGCCAATCAGGCGCTTTTGGCGGAATCGGAGCAACCGCCATTGGAAGACCAGCTCGCTCGCTACACATTATGGCCAGAGCATGAGAAGCTGTATGGTCACGGGTACGAGATCTCAGCCGTGGCTGTCAGCCACGACCGCACACTTATTGCCACCGCTTGCAAGGCGAGCTCGATTGATCATGCCGTGGTGCGTCTGTACGACACGTCAGACTGGCACGAGATTCGTCCATCTCTTGCCGCGCACACCTTGACCATTACTAGTCTCGCCTTCTCCAGTGACGACCAGTACCTTCTGAGTGTCGGACGTGACCGGCAATGGGCTGTTTACGAACGCAGCGAACAGGACCCCTCTACTTTCTCCCTTCTAATTTCGAACCCGAAGGGTCATTCCCGAATGATCCTCGATGCCGCATGGGCACCTGCGTCGGGAAAGCCCATCTTCGCAACCGCCGGCCGGGACAAGTCAGTGAAGCTGTGGCAGAAGACCGAAGGCTCCTTTGAGTGCAAATCCACCATCCCGCTGACAACGCCTGTCACTGCACTGGCGTTCCTTCCGCAGATATATAGCAACTCCTTCTTCGTGGCCACGGGCGAGGAAAGCGGAGCAGTGTCTGTCTACCGAGTCGCAGTCGACAGCCTGGAAGCCAGCCAATTGTCAAGCATCGATAAGCTTGCATCTCCTTCGAAGGCGATCACGCAGCTGTCCTGGCGGCCGGTACCGGATGTAGATACACGGGATTTTGCACTGGCGGTAGCAAGTGAGGACACTTCAATTCGGATATATAGTTTCTCGGACATGGTCTCATAACCAAAAAGGCCGTATATGTACAGAACCAAAAACTAAATGGGCAGAAAACCGAAGTTATAATACCATGGGTTGAAATCGTGCACAAATGTTGAAAGCCCGGACTCCTTAAATGTTGAATATATCCCTTCCGGGTCCTGGAATCCTTCTAGAAACACAAATAGTTGAATGATGCTCCGAACCCCTGCTATGCATATCCAGTATAGTGGTTGTTGAACCAATCATGTTGAACGATGCCAAAGAAAGAACTTAATAAGAGCAGATGAAACAGGTGAAAAAGCGGATGGGATTGAGGAGAGGCGCACTCGCATGTCATCACGCAGCAGGCCGCTTTTCCAAGCCATACCCGCCCAAACCCTCCAGCGACGGGTAAGTCTTAGCCTGACTGGTGAACCCATTTCTCGGACCCCTAGAATGCAAGTCCTCTTTGAGCCAATTCAGCACAAGCTCACCGAGCTGACTATTTTCGGAGGTCTCCTTAACCTCTTCGCGGAACTTCTCAATGGGACCCCACTGACGCACGCTTCCCAAATGCATATGGACTAGATGCGTAGGCCACAGCGACAAGTTATCCAAGATATGGGTCGCATAGACGATAGTACAGGGTCTGGTCTCAGTCTCACGCTTAAGAAAGGCCAGGAAATTGGAGCGAGAGAGGAGGTCCAAATCGACAGTGATTTCATCCAGAAGGAGGACTTGCCAGGGCCGGAGGAGGCCCATAGCTAGCTGGACGCGGCGACGTTCGCCGTCCGAAACGGCATGCATGCGCCAGCGGAGATCGATGTCTAGGATGTCGACGAGTTCATCCCGGCGGTCAGGGTATGCGTTGCCGCCGACGGAGGCGAGGAGGGTAGGGACGTCGATGTCGGTGCGGACGATGTTGTTGAGAACCCATTCCATGCCGAGGTAGGTTACGCCTTCCAGGCCGTCCTTGAAGGGGTCTTTGCCTGCTACGGTGATGGTGTCTGTAGGAGCTAGACGTTTGCCTGCTAGGAGGCGGAGGAGGGTGGTCTTGCCTGCGCCATTGGCTGTTGAGGGTGGTTTAGAAGTTAGTTTGGTTAATACGTGCTGAGGCAATGAGTTGGACATACCTCCAATAAGTAGGGTTCGACTGCCGGCGGGGGCTTGGAGATTGACGTCGGTCAAGCCGGGAGAACCGTCGGGGAACTTGAAGGATAGGTTCTTGACCTCAATTGAGGGGGAAGGGGCGTTGTTGTCTGTCATGATGAGAGATGCGAAGAGCGCAAACAAAGATGAGGGGAAAGTCAAGTGATAGAAGAATAGCAGAATGCTCTTATCTATCTAGTAGTGTGAGTTACTCCAGTCGACGTCGTTGTATCTAATTAATAGCAACCGATTTAAACGAAGATCTATAATCAAAAAGGCATAGAAACGAAGACTGCAAATTCGTCAAGACTCAACGAGAGAAGAAAAAGAAAGGAAGAAGAGGAAATGGAAGAGAAGCGATAAGACCCGATGAGGTAATAATGGATCGCGATGGCGGGGGAATTTGCGCCGGGAATTTTTCCAGAGCCGCACCGCCAGGATTACCTCCCTTCGAGCCCATCAGCTCGCGGTCTTCTTCGCCAGATGGTATTGTCGAGGCAAAGATGCTAATTAGGTCCTGTTTCAACCCTCCATGCGACCATTTCTCCGACGCTTTACGTCTCTCAAACGCCCCTCCGTCATGAAGCCGCTCATCGCTGTCGTTGGTGCCACAGGCACGGGCAAGTCAAAGGTGAGAGCGTTTACCCAGCCCGGGATCCTGGAATTTCCTTCCTTTTGTAAGAGACTGCTTACTGACGGTTGCAGTTAGCTTGCAGTCGACCTAGCCTCGCGATTTAACGGGGAGATCATCAATGGCGATGCCATGCAAATGTATCGCGGTCTCCCTATCATCACCAACCAGATCCCCGTCGAGGAGCGAAACGGTATCCCGCATCACTTGATCAGCTGCGTTGAGCTCGAGGAACAGCCGTGGTTTGTCGGCAGATTCAGAAGCGAAAGTCTCCGACTCATTGACGACATTCACGCCAGAGGGAAAACTCCCGTCTTGGTCGGTGGTACCCATTACTATACACAGGCCGTCTTGTTTAAAGACCAGCTACTTGGCGAGGATGCTACTGCAGACGATGTGCAGGAGGAAGCCGTAAATCAATTAACGGAAGATAACGACCCGAAATCCTCGACTAAATGGCCCATCCTCGACGCTCCCACTGAGGTGGTTCTACAAAAACTGAGAGAGGTCGATCCCGTCATGGCGGATCGATGGCACCCGAACGAAGCACGCAAAATCCGTCGCTCCCTAGAGATATATTTCCAGACCGGCAGGCCCGCGTCGGAAATTTACGCGGAGCAACAGCGGACAAAGCAGGCGGCCCTGATTCGGGATGACTCCCTTACAGGTGCCGGTCACTTGCGATTCCCGACGATGATATTCTGGGTGCACTCGGAGAAGGAGACGCTGAACAGTCGACTGGACAAGCGGGTTGATGCAATGCTAGAGCAAGGGTTGATGACAGAAGCCAGGCAGATGTCGGATTACCTTCAGGAAAAGAAAGCTCAGGGCGTCTCCGTTGACCAGAGCCGCGGCGTATGGGTGTCTATCGGATACAAGGAGCTAGCACCCTATTTCGAAGCACTATATGCCGGCTCGGCGGATGAGGCCGAGCTAGAGACCCTCAAGAAATCCGGCATTGAGTCGATCAAGACTGCAACGCGGCAGTATGCCATGTCTCAAATCAAATGGATCAGAAACAAGTTATGGCAGGCCCTTGCAGATGCGAGTTCGACCAATCGTCTCTACCTCCTTGACAGCACTAATGTCGACGCATGGGAGCAGAATATTACTGAGCCGTCCGAACGTCTTGTCCGTGCTCTGCTGGAGGATCAACCCACTCCCGATCCGAAGTCACTGTCAGAACTCGCAAGGACGGTCTTGGGCGCCAAGGAGGCGCAGCCACATAAGGAGTCGGGATCCGTCACCAAGTGCAGGACTTGTGACATCTGCCACAAGACCATGATGGGCGATGAGCAATGGCATATACACATCAACGGCTCGGTCCATAGGAGAGCTCTCAAGAGCGCCGCCAAACGGGCTGCGCGTGACGAATATCTACGAAAGCGACAAAAGCTGCTACACGAGGGTGAGGAGAAGGGCTCTGAATCTCCCGCGGAGCCAGATGTACAAGCCCCTCCGTCCTCTTAAACCAGATAGACAGACAAATAGAAGTCTCAAATTAATTGTCAATAGCACCGAGGTGCCTTGCGTCTCAATGTAAATGCATCTGTGAGACCCGTGGGTAACCATGTACAGAGATTCTTCCGCGCAGTGCATGCTAGTAGACCATCTGCATGTTTGCTTTCACACCGTACATGTATGCAGAAAGCAGGTGCGGTCAAGAAGACAACAAGACAACGCTGACCGACAGCCAGATGACATCATCTGAAGAAGCCCCTAACTTCTGGCTGTGTTTGGCATAGGGCTTGGTGTTTGGGGCAGCGAATAGATGTCAGACATAAAGCATTCATTTGCAATGATTGCACAGCACATACTTGTCACAGCACCGTCTAGGTCCAGTGACCAAGTCGATCCAGCCGATGCCGCAAGCGAGTTCCCATGCATCAAGCCAAGAGGCAAGCATATCCCTATCTGTTGATAGCAGCCTTATCATTCTTGCGCAACTGGGTGGACACCGAGCTTCTCTTTCACTGGAGGAGTAGCCCACAGACGCAGAATCATTGGAAATAAAGAAGTCAATGACTGAGCGTTTGTATGGCTCAAGATTTGGACCTCCAGGCCGAAAATGCTGGTGAGATAATATCGCCAGTTCCACTCTCCTCCACCCTGAAGACTTCAATAAGCGACGATTTCTCCCGTTTGCGTATTCTCCATGTGCCTTCCTCTTGAATGGTAGTTTTAAGCCCTGTATCAGTCAGTTTAGATCCTGCTTCTTTCTTTTAATTCGGGCGAAAAGATTGATTGTATACGCACATTCAAGGAACGTGGCAGCGAAGTTAATGCAGATATTTCCGTCCCAAGTCGACCGGCCAAGCTTCTTGACTTTTCCGGGTATGGCAGCAGTCTCGAGCTCCTCAAGACGATGAACAATACCATGTTGGTCCCGAAAGCCGACAACGATCTTGGGTACCCCGAGTAAGAATGACTGGGCCCAGAATTTCAGGAGCTTCCTTTCGTATTTCACCATGTCCCGGTCATTTCTAATCTCGGCGGAGGTTTTCAGTTCTACCCAATGGATGGGATCTTCCTTGCGCTCAGGTTTGCAATCCCAGACTGTGAACAGGATGCGTTAGAACATGATATATGCGCTGTGGCACGTGGTTGTGACGGAGTGGTGGGTGGCCTTTTGACATACTCGCATCTACCTCCCCACCAATGACTAGGCGTGCGCGGCCGATTGCAGTGCGCACCACTGAACAATACTGGGCATTGTTGTTCACAATGAGTTCCTCTCGGTTTTCAATCTCTCTGCGTGGAGTCGGATCCCACGGTTCATTAAGCACCGACAGAGTCTCAAATTTATACCCTGACTCGGTCAATGACGTTTCTAACCGTAAGGGAAAGAGAGCTCTTACCCCAGTAGGCCATCAGATCCTGGGATGCCATTCCCGGAGGCATTCGTTGATTTTTCTGAATTCGTTTCTGCTCATTCTTGTAGCTGTTGTTCTCTTCGATAAATCTGGACGGTAATTAGAGTCAGGAGCCAGTAGATATAGCAGGCTAGCATAAACCAACATTGTTCCCTGGAAGCACATTAGCAAAGAGTCCCTAAATCGATGGCTAATTGACATACCTGGAAGCAGGTAGCGTTCATTTCGAAGCTGTACGCAAATCAATAGCTGAAGCAGAAGAACGACAAATCGAGAATACACACCCATTTAAGTTATCAAAAGGAGCTGCAAGGATCTAGACAAATCCAACATAAGCATATCTTTTGATCCCATACGACTGAACACATTATAGGCGGGGTCTACCTTGGTCATCATGCCTCTCCAGGTGATAATATCAGCTTCACATTTCTTCTGCGTTTCTTGTTCCAGGGCTATGACTGTCTCGAGCAGAGCATCTAGATGCTCATCGGCTGAATCATCCAGCTTTTGAAATGACTCGAATCCGCGGTTCAGGTCCGCGGGAAGGCATGGCGGATAGTAGTATTTCATCGATGAATCTCCGAGATGGAACTTATGCTCATCATCATAAGAGAAACATGCAATCTCCTGGACAAGGGTTAAGGGTTGACTTTGAGCATTCGGAATGAATTATACTAAGCTTACCTTTGGACGTCGAATGGCAGCGCTAGCTCCGTAGAAGCGGCCAATGGGCTGAATATCAAAGGCCTTGCGATCCATTATTTTGAGAGATTGCCCGGATATGATGGTGACTGGATGCGAATGCGCGGAAAGGTTACTCTATGTACTCTTTCTGCCGTGCGCGCGCGCCTTTCACGAGATTATACCAGGGATTCAGACCATATGAACTAAAGTCTCAAAGGCGTCCTGCTGTTGCTTGGGAAGGAAAGAATCAGTGGTAAGAGTGAAACCATTCACCTCCAATATAGCTAGGTATGAACCCTGCAGCGCGCAAATGCGGAGAGGAAGAAATAAGTAGATCGTCGTTGCAGTAGTTCAGTCCAGCTGCTCCCGTCATTCTGGAAGAACCGAAGCGCGTCCCCACCAAAAGTCGCCCGGCATCAACTTTCCCAGCCGCAGTGGCTTGACGTCGTCAACCATCCCCGATTCAGGCCTGTCGAACTTGTTGCGGTCGCTTTATTTCGCTTTCGCCCTCTTATACTATTTTGTGGGCTGTCTCGTTATACCAATCCATCGTGTTCACTGTATCCCCGACCTCTTGACAGTCGCCCCTGGTGATTCATCCGTTCTGAAGATGACCTCACGTATCGACAAGACAATTGCTCGACAACGAGAGAAGTGAGCCAACACCACCTTGCTGCTTGTGCCGAGCAGCTCTCTGATGTCTACAATGATTTCCCAAAAGAAAACGATAACTGACGCATCTTGTCTTCTTGAAGGATCGCTTCTGGTGCTTACTATGAAGCTCACCAGCAACTGCGGGTCATCGCTGCCCGGTATATTAAGCAAGCGAACTACGATGCGGCGGCAGAGCTTCTTGCCGGCGGGGCCACCGCTCTACTGAAAGCTGGATCTCAGCAGGGTGCTTCTGCCAGTGGCGGCGATTTGGCTATCATGTTGGTGGTTGAGGTCTACACAAAGGCGGGGTGGGAGATTACTGGAGGAAATGACGATGCAGAGGGGCGGGCTCGGAAGAGTGAGTGCTTGCCTATGCCATCTTATATATTGCCGCGCCCGCTTGCGGATGTCATACGGTGCTTTCTAGAACTGATCGGGCTGACCGAGGGCTCCCTCTATCTACAGAGCGCTTAATCGAGCTTCTGCACGAATTTCCCCCCGAAGAGCCTACCCGGAGAAGGTTTATCCAGGAGATTATCGGCTGGAGTGGCAGGTTTGGACCCTTAGAACGCGGCGACCCTGAGTTGCATCATGCCGCTGGATCGGTATACGCGGAAGGTATGCAGACCCATAATGATTCTGATTTCGAGGGCGACTTCATAACAGTTGTCTCTAGACCACGAACCCTATGACGCGGAAAAGCATCTCATCTTCGGTACCTCGGAATCAGCTGAGACTCTGGCCAAACTTGAGTTCGAGTGGTACACCCATGACGAACCGCACACTGCCGCAATCTACGCCTCTCGCGCGGTATTCCCCTATCTCTTGATCGGAAACCTTCGCAGCGCCAACAAAGCGTTCCTTATTTTCACGTCAAAGCTTTCCTCCACAAACCCCTCACTCGGCGTGCAAGATGTCAGTAGCGCTAGCTCTGACGTACGCGTCTTCCCCGCGCTGCCCTTGCTGAACTTCATCAGCATGCTGCTCCTTACCATTCAGCGCGGTAGTTCGGATTTGTTTAAACAGTTGACGGCGCATTATGCATCCCATATCAAAGACGTCGGAATTTGGGATGACGCACTGTCTCAGATAGGCGAGCAATATTTCGCAATCAAGGTCCCAAGACAGAGCAACCCGCTACTGGATATGATGGGAAGCATGTTGTTTGGTGGCGGTCAGGATGGTGCTGGTGCTGGTGCTCGGATGGCACCTCAGGGCAGAGGAGGATCGAAGAGGGTGGAAGCGCCTCCGACGAGTATGGAGCTCGATTAGAGGAATTTCTGGGGAATTTGACCATGTAGAAGAACGCAGTCTGAACGCATCATCCATCATGCATCGTAATTAGTATAGACCATATCGCAAACGAATCTCTTAGGCCCTCGAGTCGACTTCAGCCTCGTACATCCAGTTATCTTCCTCCAGGGCGGCGACCTTATTGCGAAGGCTCTGGTGTATACGATTAAGAATTTCTATAGACATCAGCCGAATCGCATCGCGACATAAATCTTCGAGTGTAGTTGAGGCTTACCGGCTGGCTCGATACTCATTTGTCTGTTTCGATTTCGATACATCATCTCAACTAGGTTTGCCTCCATCTCTAATTCCTCATTAGTTCGCCTGACTCGGGCGCTCGGGGCCAGAGTCTCGACTTACTTTCCTTCTCCTGCGCAGTTAAATTGTCCCCTGCTGCACCAGCACCATCCCCGGCACCCACACTTTCTATACCCTCCATTTCCTCACCATCTTCACCAACCAAGGGGGGGAGTACAGGGACATCAAGCTTGTAGCTGCCGTTCTTGTCCTTAACCACGATTTCCCCGTTGTCGATAGATCCGGAGCTCAAAGATGTAGATGCATCAGACGACGCGGACTGCAGCAGTTGTGACGATAGACCAGAGGGTCCGTTGCTACTTTTGCCCTGTGCAGAGGAACCTGCGGGGCCAGTTGAGCCAGCGCGTTTGCTAATGTGGTGGTGGAAGAGATTGCGGCGGACAGAGGTTGTTCCCATTGCGAGGGCGTGAGGCTAGACAGGTATAGGAATAACGGGTCTAATTAAGCAATAAGTATAGAGTGTAAGAATGACTTGAAGCCGGTTAGCAATGCTTTTTGAGCGACAAGGCCCAGGTAAAACTGGTGTGGGTAGTCGTGAGGTCGGTGTTGTAGCAACTGAAGGGACTGGGTAAATGAATTAGAAAAGAATTGGCAGAGAAAAACTGTTCGACGTAAAAGGGTGGATGAGCATAATAATTGCTGGTCTGGAACTACATCCAACGGCTATGAAGCGTGAATACAGAGAACCCTGGATTAGCATTGAGGTGAAGTTGTAAGGCGGGATTCCGAAAGCATCACCAAAACCCAGCTGTCAACTGGCTGCCTCTGAGATCGCATGTGTGCTGAGCAAACTAAAGCCGGTTTTTCTAGACCTGGCTCATTAATAGTACAAATGGTTATTGTTTCCATTATCCTTTCGTAATAATGCATTTCTTTGGAATCGTGCAGGAGGCCCGTCGATTTTGGCTCCATCACCGGCGAACAATAACTACCCTTTTGGGCCAAATCTATGCCGACGCGTCTCCGCCTCGACTTTCGCGTCTCCCGCTTCTTCAGTTCCAACCCATCACCAGCGCTTTGTTCTTACTCTCGGTCTAGCACACAACAGAACCATTCAGCCTGAGCTAACATATAATTTGCATCAAGTTATCATTCGCTATGGTTCAAGCCGAATCCTCAGCCAGTGCCTCTCGTAATGGCCTCAAGGCGCATACGGCCGGCGCCCCTCCTGACTATGAACTGCCCTGGTACGTACAGCAGGTCCCAGCACTAAAGCCAGCTTAGGATGTCGAGTCTGATTGCCAAATTTAAACAATAGGGTAGAGAAATATCGCCCGGTATATCTCGATGATATTGTTGGAAACACAGAAACAGTTGAGCGCTTGAAGATCATCGCTAAGGATGGAAACATGCCGCACGTTATCATCTCGGGCATGCCCGGTATTGGAAAGACTACTTCGATCTTGTGCTTGGCGAGACAGCTACTGGGAGACGCATATAAGGAGGCGGTTCTGGAGCTCAATGCTAGTGATGAAAGAGGTACATCTACCCCACTTGGAGAGGGAGACGAGAGACGGCTTTAATCTAATATGCTCCAGGTATCGACGTGGTACGGAACCGGATCAAAGGCTTTGCGCAGAAGAAGGTCACTTTGCCGCCTGGTCGTCATAAGCTTGTCATCCTTGATGAGGCAGATAGGTACGTACTAGACAGTGAGCTACATTACCTTTCCTGGATGCTCACGGTGGTATAGTATGACATCAGGTGCCCAGCAAGCTTTGCGGCGTACAATGGAGATTTACTCGTCGACTACACGGTTCGCGTTCGCCTGTAATCAGTCAAATAAAATCATCGAGCCGATTCAGTCGCGATGCGCTATCCTACGTTATGCTCGGTTGACCGATGCGCAAATTGTCAAGCGTCTGAAACAAGTATGCGATGCTGAGAAAGTGGAACATAACGAAGAGGGCATTGCCGCCCTGGTATTCAGTGCTGAGGGAGATATGCGTCAGGCTATCAACAACTTGCAGAGTACATGGTCGGGTTTCGGTTTCGTCAGTGGGGACAACGTCTTCAGGGTGGTCGACAGCCCGCACCCGATCAAGGTCCAGGCAATGATCAAGGCCTGCTGGGAAGGCAAGGTTGATGCGGCGTTGGAGACACTGAATGAATTGTGGTATGTACACAGTGCAGTCTGCCAATTTTATGTTTGTGGACTCGTCCTGACCGTATTTCTAGGGAATTGGGGTATTCCTCCCATGATATCATCAGTACCATGTTCCGTGTCACCAAGACAATTCCCACTCTGTCAGAACATTCGAAGTTGGAATTCATCCGGGAGATTGGTTTTACGCACATGCGCATTCTAGACGGCGTGCAGTCACTGCTGCAGCTTAGCGGCTGCGTTGCGAAGCTTTGCAGGATCAACATGAAGCCGCAGCTCTTTGAGCCGCCGAAGAATTGAGATGAAAAACGAAAGTGTAAGTTAGATGCAGGCATAACTTGGAGTTTTGGGGCGTTTATAAAGCAAGGCTATACCAAGCCCTGGGGTATTTAGCATATGATTTCAACACTTTCTTTGATTTTCAAGTTATTGTTGTTAGAGACTCCAGGTATCGTTTATAAGATTCAGTTCATACATTGTAAAGCATGCATGCTGGAGACTACGCAACTCGAGGCCAGCTCGACAGTCTAGTCTCACTTCCTTGCTGGCATGGGAGCAGAAGGCATTCTAGCGCCCTCCGGCGGCTTGTTCTTGCTCTTGAAGTCATCGCACATCTGCTCAAAAGTGACCCATTCCACGCCCTCGTGCTTGTTTATGTATTCAATGATTCTAGAGCCTATCAGCAAGCCCTCCACACAAAACAGTTCTAACCAGACAAGCACCCAACTTACCTCTCATGCATAAGAAGGACATGCGGACGGCCCGACACATCAGGATGAATAGTCATAGGGAAGACAAACTCATCGTACTCGCGATAGAAGTAGTCGAAATGATCCTGTCAGATCATCAGTTACATCAAAGGCCCCAAGAACCAACGCGTCAACCTCCAAGACGAACTCACCTTCCAAAGATCCTCAACATCCTTAGGATTCACCCAGCCATGACTATTCGGCGCGGACTTGATAAACATCATAGGCGGCAAATCATCAATATACCAGTTGCCGGGGATCTCCACGAGCCCCGTATCCTGGCCCCTAACCAGCGGCTTCATCCAAGTCTCCGCCTTCTGGGAATAATCAATTTTAGTCCATGTATCGCCCGTCCTCAACCAATACATCTGACAATCATGATGAGACATGGAATGATCATATTCAATTCCATAGGAGAGCAACAAATCGGCCATCTCCTTACTGGTTTCCCACCATGGCGCAACGATACCCCGCGGCGGCTTGCCCGTGAAATCGTACAGCATGTGATAGGTCTTATCGAGAATGTCCCGTTGCTGCTCAAGGGTCATGTCGGAGGGGTTTTCGTGCGTGTAGCCATGCAGGCCGATTTCGTGGCCGGCGTCTCGTACCATGGCGCATTCTTCGGGAAAGGTCTCGAGTGAGTGGCCTGGGATGAAGAAGGTGGCTTTGATGTTGTATTTGGAGAAGAGTTTGAGAAGGCGTGTGGTGCCGATGTGGCCGGCCCAGAGTCCTGGAGGATGTGAGTGAGTGTACTACTACTAATAAGTAATACTACTGCTGCTACCCGTTGGTATGGACAGGGCGAAGTATATAGAAAGAAAGTGTGTTTGTTCTGTTCGGTGTTTGGACTTTTAGTACTTACCTCGACTAATATCGTTGGAACTGTCCTCGCCGCCGTAGGATCCTAGCCAGCCGGCGACAGCGTCAATGTCGACGCCGTAACTGACGAGAACGCGCTTCTTGCCCATGTTGATGTTTATTTGTGTTGGGGGAAATGGGGTTTGATCTGGGACAATGTGGCAGGGTTCTTTGTCGGATATGTAAATAGGTTGAATGAGACGTGGGCAGTACAAGTCTACAGGTTTAACCGAGGAGTAACTCTTTTCCCCCCAACCTTGGTCATTGATTTTTCTTTTATATAGTCGATCAGTGAGGGGGGGGCCGATGAGGGGGGAACCTCGATAATTCGGTCATCTGAGATAAATGATCGGAGGGGAGGAGATAAGGCGCGATAACCGACATGGAGAGAGCCGGTGCTACAGCAATGGAGAACCTTATCAGTATGCATATGCTACTCGACTCGTTACTACTGAGTATTATTATCTAGTAGATACTACAGGCTCGCAAATGTAAGGATACGGTCTAGTCTTACTATTAGCTATCTTGATAGTTACTAGTTGCCCTGGACTGAATCACAGTATATTGGCTTACTCCAACAGTGACGCCTCCACTTCTGGCAGAACTCCAACGGCCCGGTTGGAGTAAGTCGTGTGGAAAAGTGGGGGTTGCGCTCGGGGCGATGGAGATAGCCAACTAGTATACCTAGTAGACTAGATAGACACACACACCCCAGAAATGGACTATTGAGCTATGCTCTAGTAGATGCCGTACACTAGCTGCGCCAGATCTTCTCAATGGCAGTCGCTGCTCCTAGGACCTTCTCCTCTTCTAGCTTCTTGCCGATGATTTGAACATTAATTGGATGACCGTTCATGGCCTTCGCATCGTACAGCCCCCAATTCCATGCGTCCAGTTCGTTCCTGGGTTGATAGTCTGCTGGCAGTGCGTCCACTTCAGCCCGCACCTGATCCACTGGGAATGTAACAGCAGAGTAGTCAAGGAAATTCCAGATTTTGGTATACCCAACCCACCGCAGTGTTCGGTGGGGAATAGCAGGATGGGGCGTTGTCGGGGCCAGGAGTACATCAATGGGTTTCCCAGAGGGAGAGCGTGTTGCGTTCCATTTATCCAAGTATTTCTTTTGCAGTGCAGCTTTCTTCCTGTTGAGCTGCCAGTACTCGTAGACGGAAATGGCCTTCCCGCGATTTACCAATGCTTCCACGTGGGGAATATAAGGCTCCCCACCAGCTTCCACATCGCGGCGGATGTCTTCCCCCCCATCCACTGTGTAGAAAGTGTCCATGAGTTGGATATATTCTAGATGATCGGAAGCATCCCAGACGACTAGCTCGTGGCCTTGCGCTTCTAGTCTTGCGGAAAGATCCCGAAGCGCTCTCTCGATGGGAGGATGAACCTTCACAACTCCGTCATCCAAAATAAGCCCAATTACCATAGGCCGGTTCTGAACCTCCTCGTATGCGCTCTCATTCCAGAGTAGCGGGGTACATTTGGGGTCTAACTGCCACGGCTGTGCATTAGCAATCAGTCGGCTTACATAGCAGAGAGACGATAGATCTCGTGCCATGGGACCAACAGATGAGGGAACATGCTCTTGCCCCTCGGTAGACACCGGTACGCCATGGTACGGAAGTCTACTGCTCTATATGGTTTGTCAGTCAGGTCCTTTTACCTTATCAGAGCTAGGAAGGTGGTTAGACTTACCGTAGGCTTCAGGCTATACAGGCCCATGTGACTTTGTGGGATTCTCACACTGCCACCGATGTCTGTACCATACCCCAGGATAGAGCCGTGCAATGCCAATAGAACAGCCTCTCCTCCAGTGGAACCTCCTGGCGTGAACTCAGGGTTCCGTGGGTTGACGGTCAGACCCCAAAGTGGATTGTCTGTTTCAGCCCACTAAGTTATAGATTTAGAATCTCGACCCTCTATCAGCGAGCTAGGCGGATACAAACCATTATGCTCTGTGGTAGGTTGGTCTTCGCCAGTACGATAGCACCCATATCTTTCAGCATCTGCACTAGAACTGCATCTTCTGTAGCGGGAGCAAAAGAGCGGCCCACGTATCCAAGTGTGGTGTCAACACCCTTGACATTGAACTGATCTTTTACTGTGACTGGAATGCCGTGGAGTGGTCCCTTGACTTGACCGGTTCGTTGAAAAGTATGGTCGAGTTGCCGGGCCTGTTCCAAGGCATCTTCGAACACAATTTCCGTGAGACAGTTGGTCTGTGGAGCCAGACCTATTAGTGCTGATCTACAGAAATCTTTCGATGATGAATTTGCTCACCAACTGATGGGCTACCACAGCCCTGAGGACAGAAGAGTCAGTCAGGAATGGAAATGAAGGTAGTTAGGGCGATTCAATTTATATATAGTACCTTCTAATAAAAGCCAATGTCGTCTGCTCAGCTGTATATTTGCCCGATTTCAGGCATTCGAAGAGCCTGGGCACGCTGTCGATGTCAGTGATCTCCTGGATTACAGGGTCTTCTTGAATACGCGTGCGCTCTTGGACAGAGAGCAGCTGGGGTGCACGCCGGTCGATATCGTTGACTTGATATGGCTTTAGGAGCTGGTTCCGTAGAGCACGCTTTTGGGAAACAATTTGCTCCCACGGCTGAACACTTCCCATTGTGGCAAAGATATTTCAAGATGGTTATCTTATCGAAGCATAAATGGGGTTAAGATGTCCTATTTCCGTTGTCACTTTCGTCACTTTCGTCACTTTCTCCCTAGTATATATATGTGGATGAATGTGAGTGCTATCAGCAGTTGATGTCCACACCAGAACTCATCTGCTAGTGCGGGCCCTAAAATAAATGGGAGTCATTAAATAGTAATCTGGCAGCTCTCGGAGGAGATACGCAAAGCCAGCTAGTGAGAGACCGGTGGTATCAGTTGAAGGTGGGGTTAACTACGGATCAAGGGTCAATGTTAGCGAAGTCAGGCATTCGTGCGGAGTAATCGCTCGAATCCAGTCATGATAAGAACAACGACCCCATCGCTAGTAGTAGACTAGATCGATCCTAATAGAGAGGAGTAGATTGCGTTTGGATTGAACCTTGGCTAGTCAGGCACGCCGAAGTAATCCCGGTGGATCGCTGATCAACCGGCGAATGTTTTCCTGGGGAGGCTGTCCAAGCGGAACTTGTTGATGTTGTGGCGATGGCTCAACCATTGAATCCATCCCCACACTTAATTTGATGTGTAAACTGTAAAGAATATAAACTCAAAAAGAGGCGTCTGGGGAAACATCCTTCGAGAATACTAGGTTTGGGGGGAAGATTGAGCCGTCAAGAGAGGGAGGGTGAAAAAGGATTGGATTAGGTTGGAGTGGGGGAAATCTCCACCAGGGTCAATCCACCGTCAGTCCACAGGCCACACGCCGGCCAGCTTTTCCCTTCGAATTCCCCGTTTCTCCTCACAGCTTGCCGACGCTTTCCATCACTGGCTGCGAGCTCCGAGGCGTGTTGGCGAACAATTTCGACCTGTTCACGACAATGCTTATGACTCGTGAGATGCATTGTTCGATGTCCCTTTATTTGCTTCTCGATTACTAAGTTCTTTCTCCCAATTTGGCCTCAATCTGAGGACATGCCACCATGAATCCCCCCAATTCTGGTGCCGCTGCAACATCAGCGATGACCGGTGCCATCCGCACCGATTCCCGAAAGAAGTCCTCCGGCGCAATTGCGAAACGTGCGTGCGACCAATGCAAGTTCCGCAAGATCAAGGCAAGTAATATAGTAGATTCCTACGGCCCTCTTTCCGATCCGGGGTCCCCCTGTCTGCTTTTTCTCTTTCTTTTCCAGAAACCCCCGAGGTCCACCCGTGTTTACTATCTTTCCGAGCCTGGCCAACCGAGCTAATCGCCTCCGTAACTGCAGTGTAGTCTATCCCAACCATGCCGGGCATGTGTTTCCATGGGCTTTGAATGCACCTTTTTCCAGCCGCAGAAGAAACGTGGTCCTACTGGACAGTGAGTCTGAAGATCCTGCCTGCCCTTGAGTTGCTTATTTTCATGTTTGTTAATCTGACCATTCTGTTGCGTATCCAAAGCCGTGTGTCTCAGATCCGGCAGCAACAGACCAACTTACCGGCTTTGAATAGCTCACAGAGCCAAGTAGCTTCCAATCCCTTACCAGGCGCTTTTGCCGCCTATCAGACGGAGTCACCATCCCGAGGAGACGGGAACTCCAATCCCGTACATCCAATCCAGGATGCCGCACACTGGCCTATGCATAATGAGGCCTCCTCGGTACCCGTTGAGCTTTCTCATCCTCAACCACCAGCCCCAATTGCACCTAATTGGAGTTCTGGGGCCTCCCAAATTGAAACTCATAGTAATAGTGGCGTCAGCTGGAATGAGCGCAATGATGTCGAATACTGGCTGCCGGATACACTGGATGCTCAGGTACCCGTATTCGATTTCCCGGGCAGTAATATCTACCTGAAAGCCTCGCTTCCATCTATTATACAAACAGACGCTGCTCCTGCAGGTCTACAGTCACACCCAGCGGAGGCAGCAAGTGTACCCATGTCGGGGCCCAATGTCCTCCACCCGCCGCCAAATGAGACAAACACGCTCTGGCCCTCATCCATTGTGGAAGCGAATATGATACCGTGGATTGACGTCTATTTTGATCGTTTGCATCCAACATTACCGGTGCTAAACCGTTCATCACTGTTTATCCGAATGCTGTCCCAGGAACACCGCAGAAACCCGCAATTTGGTGCAATGCTTCTCGCATTGTGCGCATTTTCCCTTACCCAACCGATCGAGATAGCCGAGCGACCGACGTCTTCTTCTCGAGCTAACCAAGCTCGGTCCATGATGAACGAAGCGACCAAAATGCGAAGCTGCTCGGATTTCGGGGAACACCCAACAGTTGAAGCGGTCCTTACCAGTTTCTTCCTGTTTGGGTGCTTGTTTGGCAGCAACCAGCATAATGCCGCATGGCTCCGCCTGAGGGAGGCTCTTGATCTTGCTGCTACAATGGGCTTGAACAACCCGGATTCGTATCGAGATTTGCCCAGCGACGAAAAGGGACAACGCTTACGGACTTATCTGGTTCTGTCAATCACGGAGAGGTATTATACATATGGTTCGGGCCACCTTAAGATAGTCACTAACTAGCAATTCTTACAGAGCTTATGCATTACAGCGCAGACATCCCATCACCTTCTGGGGTCGACCGGGTTTCAGCATGCGGCCTGTTCATGACTTCATTCACACTGCCACCCATAGTCTGGTGTCTGGCGTCATTGTCCATAACGAAAAGGATGCTGAAGGAATGATGGGCCTCGCCCGTCTGATGGAACTTTTTGATGCCATTGACGAGGATGTTATCGATTGCTGGAACCAAAGATGCAACATCAACGCTGGCTACTGCGAGAAGCTCACGGAAGCCAAGGCTTTATCCATTCATCAGAATCTCAGCCGAGTTAGCGAGTCGGAACGATATAAAGGCTACGACTGGTTCGAGCGCTCCAAGTCAACCCTCGGCGATAATCAGGGAAACCGCCCGGCAATAGGTCTACGAGAAACCCAATGTGCAGACGTCTTTATCACGAAAAAGTGGCTTCAGAATCGCATTTGGGTGCTCTGTTCCACTCATGGGCTGCTGCGGCCTGCATCTGAACACCATGAGCTTGGTCTCCACTACGCTGTTTCTGTTGCAAAAGAGACGCTTGACATCTGTCGATCCTTGCGGCTGAGCTCCATGGAGGCACACGGAATTGGACTTGTATGTGCTATGTTGAATCCTCTTCCATCAAATTAGCTAACCAAGTAGGCTGAGAAGTTGTACGACATTGCAGTCGGCGCCATTAGTGTCTTGTTCAATGTCCAGATGCCTCTCGCGAAAGGCACCACATTGGCATCACCCGCCAGAGCCATGCCCAACCCTCAGATACCGATGGCTGGTAGTCAAATAGTCTCCAAAACTCTAACGGAAGATTTTCTTTTACTGTTGAACAGTCTGCGGGGTGGAAACCATCCTTTCATGGAAAGGTATCGAACACTATTGAGCTCATTGGACGGCACTGGTCATGCCTGGGGCTCTCAATAGTATGAGCTTGCATACTGCCGGCATGCATGCCTTCTCTAGGATATCCTAAAATTCTCTTTCTTCTTCTGTGTTCTTACTTTATATTTGGCGTTCTGGTTTTATCACGAAGTGGTCCAGGAAACTGTTACCCTATCCTCTTGTTCTGGTCTAAGCGTACTCGGTACAATAGAAGGTCACCACACCACGCTATGGCATCGAAAACGGCCAGGCTGTAGTGCACTATCGAATACAATGCCATAGGATTAAGTGTTACAACTTCGTATATCTCACATAGATGACAGCACTGACAGATCAAGCTGGCTTTCATTTTCAGCTTGCTGCTATGGAGGCTTTGGAGACTTGGGAATTAGAGCCAGTGGCCTTCTCGAGTGAAGACCAATATTGCCTCCATTTCCGTGCAGGAATATTGGCATCATACATTGCGTCGATTTCCACAAACTTGCGGCCTTTGGTCTCTGGGATGAAAAAATAGGCGAAGACCAGAATGCACGCCATGCAGCCGGCGAATACAAGATAGGTCTTTGGCCCCAGATTTGCTGCATCAGGCGCTGTTAGCTGGGGCACCACTAGAGTTGTGATCACAGCGGTTGCTTGGGCACAAGCAATGGTGTAAGCCATGGTGTGGTGACGAAGTTTAGGAGTAGCCATCTCCGAGGGCAGCAGCGTTGATAATGGTGAGAAGGAGGACGCCCAGAAGAAATTGAACGCAAAGGACAAGGCCGCGATTGCTATGGCTGATTGGCGGTTTCCCTTGTTGAACGCCAGACCACCAGCGGCAAGGTCGATGATGAAGAGGACACTCATGCCCGTCAATGCGGTAGGACGGCGGCCAGCCCGGTCCAACATGAACGGCGCAGCGATTGTACCCGCAAGGGTGCAACAAGAAGCTATCACGGTTAATGTGAATGGGTCTCCGATGCCAATCCCGGACAGGAAGACCGTGCTGTATGTCGTTGAAAGGATGATGCCTGAAATCTGGTTCAGAGAGTAGAAAGAACCGGCAGTCAGGGTGCGCTGAAGGTGCTTCTTGGAGAAAATTTCCCAAAAGGACACCTTCACGTCAGAAGCGTGCCCTTCGGAAAGTTCCATATCTCGGAGCTCCTCGTCGACTCGCTGTTCACTGCAACGGCGCAGTCTTCGCAAGTTGCTGCGAGCCGCTTCCAACCTGCCTCTAGAAACAAGCCATTGCGGGCTCTCGGGCAAAGGCAAGGTCCAAATGAGCAGCAAAGCAGGAAGGACACACTGGACTGTCAAGGGAATCCTGTACGAGCTCGGCCCTGTCAAGCTGTGAGTGCATAACACCACAATGGTGCCCAGGACACCCGCTACTAGGGTCAGAATATTTATCAACGATACACTTCTTCCTCTCATAGAGGCAGGGACGACCTGCCAAACGGTGAGTGAGGTTTCTTGAGACTCTAGAGCACCGACATGCACACCTCTGCTAGATACAAGGGAGCCGTGCCATTGGCAATCCCCGTAGCGATTCCGTTGATAAATCGACCAGAAACGAACGCACCCAAGTTTGGAGCCAGTACCTGAAGCAAGCTGCCGCCGATGGAGATTATATATGCAATCAACAAGGGGTACTTCCGGCCCAACCTCGAATTCAGCGGAGAGGCAGCTAAGCCTCCCAGAATCGAACCTATTAGAGGAACAGAAAACAATATGCTCTGATTACGAGCCGTCAAGACCAGTTTCCCTGTAAGTGGCTCGGGTCCTTGATATTTGTCGACCTGCTCATGCTGTTAGCCCAATGGAACCATCCTATGACGCTGCCTCACCAAGGGTTCATTGACACTTACAAATGGCCCCAATGCAGCCACAGGTGAAATTATCTTGTCATCAAAACCGAACACCAATGAAGCTGAGCCGAAAGCGGCGCAGGTCAGAAGCAGAAAGAAGTTGACTGTACGCTCCTTAGACGAGGTTCTGCTGTCTGAGGCGAAATCGACATGCTGTACATGGCTGACATCTTTCATGGTATCAGGGGGATGGGTGTTTGAATCATTGGCCATCGCGACTGTCCTCATACATGTAAATGCAAGCGATTGAATGACATCGCAGGCGCCAATCAATCATTCATTATACTTGGGTTGACCTCATCAATGTTGGGGAAACCCATCAGTCTACTCTGTAGTAGGGGATATCCGCAGGAAACAAGCCTAGTAGAATTTGAAGGGGGAGACGCGTCACCCAGCCCGTCCCCAGAAAGAACCGTCGCCGCAGGCCCATGGGGGTGCTATTTATTGTCATACCAAGCAATCCTCTTGTGGAAGATGGGATGCAGACACTGGCAAGGTTTCTCTCTTGTGGCTCCACTTGCCACGCTAGTGGATCCCACCTCCAGCCATCGTCCCTTGGCTTAAACTCTATCATTAGATAGAGATTTTACGGGGGAGAATATGGTTGGTGTCCACGATGGAAATACCTATGGAGAATACGATGAGGCTTGGGATTCAGTCTTGCCGGTCCTCGGACAGACTCTCCCCCGGTGATTTGATCTAACTTGGTGGTGTTAGGGGTACGTTTTCATTCCACAGTAACCTGGGTATCCATGTTTGAAATATAATGGGAATTGACGGAGTCTGGGGTTCTTTTCGCCGAAGATCCTCCGGGGATTGAATCATGCCCCACGACACGACAATTCGAGCAAGGTTCATCGTCCACTCAGTACAGGCAGGCAAGCTCGGCTGCATTGGATTTTGCAGCGGCTGCCAATTCACTCCCGGACCTCGAGCTTTATCGGTGGGGGTTGATAAGAAATAACTACGGTGACGACTGATTGCGTCTGGATTCAACCTTGCCTGATAGGAGGGTTCCCGTCATGTCTGTCAATGGGGAATACTGAAATTGATATGTGTTCAACCTTGAGATCTTGTCAGCATCTCTAATGATCAACCACAAAGCCATCGCTCTTCCAGTTTAAAAATCGAGAATAGTTCGGATGGAGCGGCAAACTAGCCCCTCAGATGACGCCCAGCGATGGCAGCCATCCTACCATTTCACTGCCCCCCACGGGTGGATGAATGACCCGTGCGGTCTAGGTTATGATCCTGCAACCGGTGTCTATCACCTGTCATTCCAGTGGAACCCGAAAGGCAATGACTGGGGAAATATATCCTGGGGGCACGCTGTGTCTAATGATCTGCTCCATTGGGAGGTTTATCCGGAGCCATGTCTGCAGCCCACCACCGAATATGACCGATGTGGCGTCTTTACGGGCTGCTTTCGACCCAATGCTGTAGATGGGGCTCCGAATGCCCTGACTGCTATATACACATCAGTGAAGCGCCTTCCCATTCATTACACGCTGCCGTATGTGCCTGGCTCCGAATCGGTCAGTTTAGCCACTTCGCATGACCAGGGTTTGACATGGCAGCGTCTCGACTGCAACCCAATTATAGCACGCTCACCCCCAAATGTCAAAGTAGCAGGCTGGCGGGATCCTTTTGTGGGTGCCTGGCAGTTCATGCGGGAACAGCCGGAAGCTTTTCCATCCTCCGACCTCTGCGGTCTGATCTCCGGAGGTATCGCCGGACAGACCCCAACAGCTTTTGTATATTCCATCAATCCTCACGACTTACGACAGTGGAAGTACCTGGGGCCGCTGGTTGATGTTGGACTCAATTTCAACCCCTCCCGTTGGTCCAGCGACTTGGGGGTCAACTGGGAAGTCGTCAACTGGATTCCCATGACAGACGACGAGGATGTTACTCGGTTGTTCATCCTCATGGGGGCTGAGGGAGGTCTTGCATCTGACAAAAGCCAGAAAAAGTCACCTCGAGCACAGCTTTGGATGTCAATCAAGCCGTGCTTTAGCACCCAACCGCATAGCAATACCGACCCTCTCGCATCCTATGCATTTTCCGGGGTCTTTGATCACGGTTGCGGCTATGCGGCAAATAGCTTTTGGGACCCGGTCACAGGCCAGCAGATAGTCTATTGCTGGATTACAGAAGATAACCTGCCAGATGACCTTAGGCACCAACAAGGATGGAGCGGCATGTTGTCTATCCCACGAGTAGTGAAACTAATCACTCTGCGCCATGTTAAGCGAGCCCGGCGTTCAGAGCTGAATGCTATCACCTCGATCGAAACAGAAGAAGAGAGACAACAAACCTTCACCATCCGAACGCTGGGTGTTCTCCCAGATCCACGACTTAAAGCTCTTCGCAGTAAGACGAACAGCATGCATATCGATCACCTGCCCCTAAGCAAATCCGACAATCGTATCTCTCCACCCAAAGCCCACTTTCCTATAACGACATCCAGATGGGAAGTCCATGCCAAATTCTCCGTCAGTAACCAATGCGGGAGAGTAGGCATAGAAGTCCTCCATGGCACCAGTATGTTGTATTCATCTCCCCCACACTGGCACACATCGTAGACTTTCAGCTCTTCCCCACTAACAGTCCACCAACACAAACCAGCCCTTTCAGACCCGCCGCGCCGTACTCTTCTATACTGGGACCCAGCCAGCGAAACCTTCTGTATCCAACGACCAAGTCCGCATGACCCCCGCATCAATCATGAACTAGTGACCGCTGCCCATACGCTATTTACGTTTGAAACCCCATCCGGCGAACAAAAGGAAGAGGCGCTACAGATCCACGCATTCTGGGATACGAGCGTGCTCGAAGTGTTTGTGAACGAGCGCACCGTCATCTCCACCCGCATCTATCTGCCACCTGACCAAGCGTCCCAGTGTGCACTGCGTTTCTTCGCCGAGGGAGAGACCGACCATGATGATCCTCCGGCTGTGGTTCTACAGGCAGATAGTTGGGATGGATTGGGCCTCGACAAGCATGATTGTGTCTCGTTGATCGAGCAATTGAGAACGAGGAAGAAGTCGATGCGCGAGTGAGATACCATGCTAGAATCAGAGAGTCATGACACATGACAGAGCAATTAGGCTAGATATTGGAAAATTAAGAATTATCGTAAAGTCGAGCATTAACAGCTATGACTCTAGCTATCATATGCTAAAGCTTCAGTCCACAGTTCCGTTTGACTCTCTTTTAATACACGTATATATGGCATATGCCCCCGCCCCCAAAAAAGAACCTAAAAAATAACAGGAAGATGAGACTCCACCCACCGCCATAAGTTCGATGATGATATGCAAAGCTGAAAAGCAAATGCTTCGAATCCTTCCCCACTTGAACCGGCCTTTCCGTCATGCAAAATAACCCCGGATAATATGCGAATGGGTATCATGTCAGATGATCATCATGGGAGACCGTCCTTCCTTCCAACCAGCCAGCTAAAGCGAACCGTTATATAAGATACCTTGTCAGGGATGAAACAGAAGAGAAAGAAGAATGAGAAAATAAGCTGAAATAGAAATAAAGTTATATAATAAAGAAAGGACAGGCATTCATAGAAGAAGAAAGAGGAAAGAAAAGTATTATAAGAAAAACATAAATAATAGTGGTCATAGCAAAACTAATTTACCGGTTGTTTGTTGTTGCTGAGGGGTCATGAAGAGGTAACCGGAATGGATCTCACCGGCGTTGCCAAAACTTCCAATTAGGAAACGCCTTTCGTCCATCGCGTTTGTAGATCCGCCAATAATAGACAGGGACACCGGCGACGATGAAAGCGACGACAATTAATGTCTGAAGCGGTTCTGCAATGATAGCCCGGCTGAGGAGGAAGAGACTAACGCAGCAGAAGATGATGGGAGTGGAAATCCAGGTCTTGTAGGGGCGATGCAGGTAGGGTTCCCGCACGCGAAGAATTATCAGGCCTAGCACCGTCACGAAGTAAAAGGTGTACCCGGCTACCCCGTAAAAGGTGACAAGGGTTTTGAATTCGCCGACGATGACGTAAATGAGGGTGAGTGTACTGTTCAGCGCCATGGCGTAAATGGGGGTGAAGCCAATTCGCGTGCCATCTCCACAGAGGCGCGAAAAGACCTTGGTGGCCCAGGAGCGGCGCTGGAGTCGGTTGGTGGAGGTGTCTCGAGTCCATAGTTTGCCGAAAATAGAGGGGAGATAGCCCTCTTTTCCGGCTGCATAAACTAAACGGCCGCTGGTGAAGGCCGTGGCGTTCAAGGCGCCTATGCAACTCGCGGATACGATGAGCGCGAATATAAGGGCTCCCACGTGACCAAAGACCTTGTCGCCGAACTGAATGGCGACGGTATTGGTCGCTTCAATAGTCGAATGAGGGAGAACGAGAATGTAGGAGATATTGGCAAGGAGATAGGAGAGGATGACTAGTGGCATGGCTGTGTGGATCACTCGTGGAAGATCCTTGTTGGGATTCTTGAACTCGCCAGTCACGTAGTTTGTCTTGGTGGAGTCAGTCAGAGATGAATGTTGAATACTGGGTGTGTAAAAAACGTACGTTGTCCCAACCGTCAAAGGCCCAAAGACCCGCGTACAGTGCTACAGCCCATGCGGATATGTCGAGGTTCGTGCCCTCGAACCAGCCGGACTTCCATTCCTTGTTGGCACTGCCAGTCGATGAGTGACCTGTGATGGCCACAATGATACCGATGATGGTGACGCCCAGCAACGCGACAAACTTGAAGAACATGAAGAGGTCACCAATGCGCGCAGCCACTCTAGTCGAAATACAGTTCAACAAAGTCACCACGAAAATCCCGCCAAACGCAACAGCCTTGTTTATCCAGGGATTTACCGTTTCCACATCGGCGCCAACGAAGGCTCTTACGACGTATTCTCCGAAGATGATTGCGATGATAGCCGCACTGCCCGGCTTCAAGACCAAAACTGAGCACCACGTGAACAGGAAGCCCGCCAGCTCCCCGAAGATTTTAGAGAGATAGACCTGGGAGCCTCCGTTCAGGGGAATAGCTCCGCCGAGCTCTGCATAGCTGGCTGCCCCCGTCCATGCAAGTAGGCCAGCAACAACCCATGCAATCAGCGACGCACCAGGCGACCCCGCATTGGCATTGACCTGGCTGGGAGATGAGAAGATACCGGAGCCGATAACCAGCCCAATCACGAGAGATAGACCATTCATATATGTCAATGTCTTGTTCCTCTCCAAGGACCCATCAGCAACTCCGGCCTCTCGGTCAGCGGCCGAGACCCCCAACGGTGCATAACCACCGGTCGTCTGAGACAAGGGAAACAAGGTCGCCCCGAAATCAAAGGCCGAGGATATCGAGTATGAGCGAGCCGATCGGGGGCGCCCTGACGGGCCCTGTGACTGTGGATTGGAGCTGGAAAGAGGATCTTCATCTTCGAGGGAGAGCTTGCGCGACGACGAAATGCCGGAGGGCGACGAGGAGCGGGAGGATCTGGGGGCGGAGTCGGGCGACGAGGCTAAAGACGCCAGTTCGAGGGAATCCCTGGGAGCATGGTAATTGCCCGACCTGGACTCGGAATTCGAGAAGGTTATATGGGACATGCCGCCCAAAGAAGGTCGAATCAAAGAATGGTTGAAAGCTGGAAGAGCGAAAGCGGGCAGTTAAGAAGGATGGGGCACGGGGCAGTGTTCCATGCCACGGGGAGCAACGAGTGGGCGGGCAATTCTTCCTCCCCTAAACAAAACAATGGGGGTCAGCAGATGAGAAAGAGACAAGAACTAGCGGCTTGGGGAGGAAGAAGCATGAAGCATTGAAGAAGATCTATTGAGGGACAAAGAAGAAAGACGAAGGGAAATGCGACTCCCTGCGTCCGCGGCCCAATGGGGCTTAGCGCCATGCGATCTCCGGTCTGCTTTTTATAGCGTCATGTTCCACTTCCCCATCCATTGCCCCAATTTTTTCCCTATACCCATGAAGCCCCGCGCTCTCCCTCAGGGCTTGTTGCGCCAGTTCAATGAGTCGCCCACTGTCGGGAGGCTCGTGAGCCGACCCCCCAGACGCTATGCTTCCACCTCGCCATCGTCTACTCCGCCGCCGAAGCAGCAACGATGGCTGCGATTCGCCTTCATAACTGCCGCTGCGGCGGGTATTGGTGCCCTGGTCCGGTCGCAACAGGGTCCAGATTCGACGACCCTGAATTCGATGAAGTTCACACCTTACTATTTAGTATCCCGCGAACCGGTCTCATCGACCGGGAGCTACTTCGTTCTTCAACCACCGGCGGCCGATGGCAGCAACCATGCCGTCTACGAGGGAGCATGGAAGACAGGCGTTTGGAGTGTCATGTTCAAACAGCCACAGTTGCAGATTGGGAGAGACTACACTCCTCTGCCCGCTACTTGCTCGGAGGATGAAGAAGACGAGTGTCTACGCTTCTTCATTCGGAAGGACCCGTTCGGCGAGGTCTCCCGCTATCTACACAGTCTAGAGATCGGAGCACCCATTGAAGTACGTGGCCCGCGAATCGAATGTGAAGTCCCTCCGGATACGCAGCGCATCTTGTTCATCGCCGGAGGCACGGGAATTGCCCCTGCCCTGCAAGCTGGACACACGCTTCTTCGCCGCACCAACGAAACGCATAAGCCTAGAATACATATCCTCTGGGCCAACAGGAGACGGGAAGACTGTGTTGGTGGTGTGAGTGACACAACTACGACTACAACAACAGCACCCTCAAGGTCATGGTTCTCCGGTCTCTTCACGTCTTCGAAGGGCAACCAAGGCGGCCCTGATGAAGCACCCCGCAGTACAGCCACTTCGTTAATAGTCCGTGAACTCGAGGCTCTTCGATCGCAATACCCTGGACAGGTGACCGTGGATTACTTCGTCGATGAGGAAGGCACCAGCATCGGGAAGCAGCTCATCCTGGACTCCACCCGCAGTGGCCCGTCTTCTCAGGATTCGGAAGAAAGCAAGAACAAACCCAACTTAATCCTGGTCTCCGGACCGGAGGGCTTCATTAGCTATATGGCAGGACCAAAGCTCTGGGCTCAAGGAATGGAATTGCAGGGACCACTCCGAGGAATCCTCAAAGAATTGGACTTGAAGGATTGGGTCGTGTGGAAATTGTAACCATAAGTATAAAGTTTTCTGTAGGATAGAGAGTATATAGACAAAATAGACCTTCCTCCGTCTTTTACCCCAGAATCCTCCGATAGCGGAGCAAGACATAATGCGTGCCGTGTGATTGGTCGATCATTCGGGTCTGGGTCCGCGTCGGGGCTTCCCTTTAGTTTGCCTTCAAGTGTGAACTTTGAGTCACTCAACTTTCTCCCATTTTCTTTCTTTGCTCTGTCCTTCCCCCATCCTTGACGCTTCTGTCTGAAGATGCAGTCGCGTTTGTTGCCCTCCGGCCCTGGCAGGCGCTGGATTTCTCTTCGCGTGCCGAACACGCCTCAACGACGTGCCTTCGCCTCCACCCGCTTCCTTTTCCAGGATGTCTTCCAGTCCCAGCTGGACGACCCTTCCTCCGCCGCCCTCTTCTCCTCCCTGCAGTCCTCCCGGGCCGTGCCCCAGACCTTGACGGAAAAGATCGTTCAGAAGTACGCCGTAGGTCTGCCCGATGGCAAGTTTGTCAAGTCCGGCGACTATGTGACTATCGCTCCCCACCGGATTATGACCCATGACAACTCTTGGCCCGTCGCATTGAAGTTCATGTCGATCGGTGCCTCCAAGATGCACGATCCCAATCAGGTCGTGATGACTCTCGACCATGATGTCCAGAACAAAACAGAGAAGAACCTGCAAAAGTACCGCCAGATCGAGGAGTTTGCCAAGCAACACGGTGTCGAGTTCTATCCCGCCGGTCGAGGAATTGGTCACCAAATCATGGTTGAAGAAGGCTTTGCCTGGCCCGGCACTCTGGTGGTCGCCTCGGACAGTCACAGTAACACTTATGGTGCCGTGGCCTCCGTTGGAACTCCCATCGTGAGAACCGATGCGGCCAGTATCTGGGCGACCGGTAAGACGTGGTGGCAGATCCCCCCAGTGGCCAAGGTGACTTTTACCGGTATCCTGCCCCCTGGCGTGACTGGCAAGGACGTCATCGTTGCTCTGTGCGGTCTATTCGACAAGGACGATGTCCTGAACCATGCAATTGAGTTCACTGGCTCTGAGGAAACCATGAGAAGCTTGCCCATGGATAGCCGGTTGACCATTGCCAACATGACGACTGAGTGGGGTGCTTTGTCAGGACTGTTCCCCATGGATGGTGTTCTGAAAGGCTGGTTGAAGGGCAAGGCTACCACTGCGGCCATGGGCTTGGCTGATGGGCCGTTCAAGACCCTGGCTGCTCGCAACTTCACCCACCCTGCCATCGAGCAGCTTTTTGTGAACCCTCTCACTGCCGATAAGGGTGCCAAATATGCGAAGGAGCTCTTCCTGGACCTTTCGACTCTTTCTCCCTACGTTTCCGGCCCCAACTCGGTCAAGATTGCCACCCCCCTCAAGGAGCTGGAAGCCCAGGATATCAAGGTCGACAAGGCCTATCTGGTTTCCTGCACCAACTCTCGGGCTTCGGACATTGCTGCTGCTGCTAAGGTGTTCAAGGATGCCGCGGAGAAGAACGGTGGGAAGGTCCCGAAGATCGCTGATGGCGTCAAGTTTTACATTGCTGCCGCGTCCATTCCCGAACAGCTCGCTGCGGAAGGAGCTGGTGACTGGCAGACCCTCCTGGAGGCTGGAGCAACGGCCCTCCCCGCTGGATGCGGACCTTGCATCGGTCTGGGAACGGGATTGCTGGAGCCCGGCGAGGTCGGCATCAGTGCGTCGAACCGCAACTTCAAGGGTCGCATGGGTAGCACTGAAGCCAAGGCATACTTGGGTAGCCCCGAAATTGTTGCTGCCAGCGCCCTCAGCGGCAAGCTGAGCGGCCCTGGCTGGTACCAGCCCCCTGAAGGGTGGACCGAAGTTGTCCGCGGTGAGGGCGATGGTATCCGCGAGGAGGACCGCATGCTCAATACCGAGCAAGCTCTTGAGAAGCTCCTTGGTCAGTTGGATGACCTTGTTGCCGATGGGGAGAAGCGCTTCGCTCCGGAGGAGAAGGTTGAGGAAGAGGGTGGCCTGACGGAGGTGTATCCTGGTTTCCCTGAACGCGTCTCTGGCGAGATTGTGTTCTGTGATGCTGACAACCTGAACACGGACGCCATCTATCCCGGTTACTGGACCTACCAAGACAATGTCCCCGTGGAGAAGATGGCTGAAGTATGCATGTCCAACTACGATAAGGAGTTCGCCTCCATTGCCAAGGAGGGTGACATCCTGGTTGTCGGATACAACTTCGGCTGTGGTAGCTCTCGTGAACAGGCGGCCACTGCTCTCTTGGCGAAGCAGATTCCCCTGGTTGTTTCGGGTAGCTTTGGCAACATCTTCTCCCGGAACAGCATTAACAATGCTCTCATGGGTCTGGAGGTCCCTCGCTTGGTTAGCCGTCTGCGCGAGGAGTTTGGCGACAAGCAGCTTACCCGTCGGACCGGTTGGACCCTGACCTGGGATGTCCGGCGCAGTCAGATTGAGATCCAGGAAGGCCAGAACGGACCCAAGTGGACTCACAAGGTGGGCGAGCTGCCGCCCAACGTGCAGGAGATCATTGCGAAGGGTGGTCTGGAGAAATGGGTCAAGAACGCCATTGAGGCGTAGAGCAAGTGGTTCAGCAGAAATGAAACGCGCATGACTGTCGACAAAGTGATTCTTATGATACCCAAGCCTTCCAGTCTTCGTTATGGGGTTGCGGCGTGGATGTTTCTTGGATAGAGACGATACGCATGGAAAAAAATATCAAACTCAAGAGATGACTCTGCATGTATAGAAAGGAAAGAGATTTCCCTTATTAGATGTACTCCAGTTCACGATCAATGTATTCTATTTTCTATATTTTTTTTCTTACTTTTTCTTACTTTTTCTTCCAGTTCTCGGTGCCTAGAGAGAACCTGTGTTTTTCACCAGCATTGGGGGAAATGTCCCGCTGGGTCACATTTGCACACCCTCTTGCTTTCATCTTCCTCCATTTATACCCTATCTCTCTGCATCAGCCATTCCCACCATGACGATGGATATGGCTATGCCAGGTCCAGAAAACAAGGATGACCTTGTTGTTTGCTGCGGGGAATCAGACGAGGTTTGGGGCGGTGTTTTAGGACGATCGCCTTACAAGGTTTAGAACACGGGCACTGGCGTGGTGGCCTGCAGTTGCACGGCTCACTGAGCCTGTCATGATTCGCTCCAGCTCAGATGCCTTCAGCTGTCAATCCTCTGCTGGCTTCCTTCCTTCAGCTGGCATTGTTTTCTTTTATTCTGCTCTCCTCCTTCATGATCGATGGACTCTCTACGGTCCCCCCCCCCCAACTTATGATCTGAGCATCCGAAACCTTCAATTTGTATATGATCGTATACTCAGCCCCGCTACGCTGCTGATGTTCCCCCAATGAGGTGTGGCTACCGGCAATGGATCCTGTCACCGCAATCGGTCTGCTTTCCGGTGCGTTTCAGATCGCTCAGTACGTCAAAGACACCGCGGGGGCACTGGCCCATCTGTTTGGCAAATTCAAGGATGCCGACCTCACCATTCGATCGCTTATCGGCGAGCTGACGACCATCCGATCAGCCATTACACAGCTACACGAGTGGGCAAGCTACAATGTTCGTGACTCAATCGAACCCGACGAGTATGTCGAGGGACTTGAAGTCGCATTGGACGGCTGTCGCGCCGTCATGGAGGTTCTCTCGGACGAGGTCTCAGCTCTGACAAGAGGTGCAATGCTGAGTGACACTGGGATCGGATTTCGCACTCGAGTAAAGGTCGTCTGGAACGAGGACAGCATGAAGGTTCATCAGGAACGACTGCGTGCGCAGGTTCATGCACTGCAGCTCCTGCTTCAAGCCTGCCAATGGTGAGTCTGGAAGTTGACGAAGCAGCAATAGATTACTGCATACTAAACATTGTGCATTAGTCGGACATCAACCGAGCAAGTCGAACTGTTACGGAGAGCGGAAAATCGCCAGATTATTGCGAAAGTCGCCAGCGATACAGCAACACTACGGTCCGCTTACAGCTACGTACCCTCACGGGCGGAGACTCCGAGCCTGACTCGTCGCTCATCCTCCGTAGGGGACACGGTTTTTGATTTCGATAGAACAGTGGTGACTTCCCTTCCCTATAGACGCGCGATCGGACAATCACGGACCCATCCTACGACGCAAGCTGCGGTCAACCGCAGCACTTACAGCCCACCTATAGATGAAGGGTATGGAAGTGGTACTGTGAGTAGTGCAAGCCCTCCCGGAACGAGTGGAGTTCTCCCAATACATCCCTCTGCGTCGTTCGACTCTAGCCATGGCCACAGTAAGAGCGTGTCGTTCGCACCGACTCCTTTACCGCAGAGTCCGACTCAAGTCCGCAGATGGCAGTCAGATGCGAGTGGCGCTTCCTGGGGTAATCGCTCCTCAGGATCACGGCGTGAGAAGATTCGGTCCATCATTCGGCAACTCAGGCGTCCAAGCTGGTCAGCGACGCAAGCTTCCGTACGAGTTCCTGGGCGGAGTCCGTCGGAGCGTCGGCTGTACGAAAGAGATTTGAATACTAGCATTAATTTGACATCACCGGATGGAGCGTCTGCGCCGCCAATTATCAAGTCAGCCCAGTCGGGCAGTCGATCCGATGTCGAAAGGCTCCTCGAAAGTGGTCATGACATTGAAGCCCGTCATATCCCGTCGCGCAGGACTGCCCTTTTAGTAGCATCCCATTGCGGGAATGAAGACGTGCTGGATCTACTGCTGCAAAGAAACGCTAGAATGGATGCTACCGACAAGTCGGGTTCCACCGCGTTGCACTTGGCTGCGTCGCGCGGTCATTGCAGAGTGCTTGAACTGCTTCTTCCTGAGTGCTTAGATATCGAAGCACGGAATGCTAACGGCCAGACTGCTCTCTGGGTAGCAGCACATCATGGCCAAGCTGAAGCCACAAACCTCTTACTTGCTTGTCACGCCAAAGTTAATGCGCGAGCTAATGATCAAGCGACGCCGCTACATCTGGCCGCCAAACTAGGCGATATAGTAATAGCAAGGATTTTGATACAAAACGGCGCAGATTTGGAAGCCAAGGACGGAACGATGATGGCACCACTACACTACGCCTGTGAAGGGGGACATCTGGATGTTATGGAGCTGCTCCTCAATGAGAAGGCGAATGTTAACGCGGCTGGAAGCGACCGAAGGACGCCGCTCATATGTGCAGCTGCCCTGGGTCAGCTGCTGGCGACGCAGCTTCTGCTTAAAAAGAAGGCATCGACTCGATCGGTCGACGATGCTGCTATGACGGCCTTGCACTGGGCTGCTTATAATGGGCACACCGAGATCGTTGACATTCTTAGCCAGAAGAAAGGGTTGCTGGCCAGAACTAACATTGCGGGACGAACAGCCTTACATCTGGCCGCAATGAAGTCACAGTTCGCGGTGGTGGAGCTGCTTCTTCGGAAGAGTATGCCATTAGAAAACCGCTGCCTCTCGGGTCTCACGCCGCTTCACTATGCGTGCATGGCTGATAATTGTGAGGTTACGAAGCTTTTGCTTATCTCGGGCGCCAATATCGAGGCCCAAGCTGATTCGGATCAACGTCGACCGGTCCACCTTGCAGCTGTCCGTGGGTCGATGGCACTTCTTAATTTACTCTGTGACAAAGGAGCTTCTCTGGATGCCCGTGACACCGCGGGAGATCGAGCGCTCTGCGTAGCATCTCGGTACGGACATGCGGCCGCCGTCCAGAACCTGCTCGACCGCGGGTCCCCAGTATGCCTGCCTTATGGCGTCCGATCGGAAGAGGATTCGCCTTTGTGTTTGGCCGCTATGGGAGGACATGTGCCCGTGGTCACGCTTCTCCTCCAGCGAGGTGCGTCAGCCATCAAGCGGGACGAACGAGGATGGCAGCCCTACCGCTATGCCGCTTACTATGGCCATCCAAGTGCGCTTCGTCTGCTCATGTCCTGTAGTCCCCTAGTTGCCAAAGACGATGCAGATCTGGGCCTCACGGCAGAGAGAATCGGATTCGCGCCGTCTGCGGATATATCTATTGAAAGGAAGCGAGAAGTACAAAGCTTATTGTATCAGATGCAGCACCCGTCACAGCCAGGAGCCGAAGGCTCCCCGGCCTGGTCCTTTCCGCTAAAGCCCAACCAGCAGCACCCAGTACCTTCTGGAGTCTTGTCCGATGTCGCTGTATACCATACCCAGCTGTCTCCGACGGCAGAAACGAGTCCTCAGGAGCTGCCAGGGACTTTAGAACAAGGGCTCCCGGCAAGCCGGTCTCAGACGCCGGAGCATATGCGGCGAGGAAGTAGCATTTATCAGCGCATAGACTCTGAATTCCGCGACGTCCCGCAGATCCTAGAGGCCAATGAGCGGGCCTTTGCCCCAACCAATGAACAGATCGCGATGCCTCAAGCGCGACATTACTATCAAGTGCCCGGAGGAACTCCTAGTCCAAGCAGCCCGTTTCTGGAAAGTGTGTTTTCGCATGCAGGCGAGAGGGTTGGCGTCCGCGCCACAGACTCGCCTGTCTCTTTGACAGATGTGCATGGGCTGAACCCTCCGCGCGCATCTTGGACAGCACCCCTGAGCCATGCAGGCGGGGAGGGTCAAAAGAAAGAAAGAGAATGGGACACGGAGTCTTCTATATCATCAGTTTACACTGCACCGGAGGAAGAGGTTGCCGAGCTTGCTGCCTAGATTTACAACGTATAATATTACATTGTAGCTAGATCATATGTCACACATACACACACACACACAGAGAGAGAGAGAGAGAGAGCGCGATCCGCCTTACGGCCACCTCTATACGAGAATTTCCTTTCTATGGATCTGGTTGAGTCACTCCCGGACGTTGACCCAAAAATAGCAGCAATATAAGCATGTGGCATCGCATGGCATCTCTCCGCCATGTGGCCGGGAGGAAGCCTTGACCCATCAAAGTCAAAAAGAAAGACATGTCTCAGACTCGTTTCTTTTTCTCCCACAAGCCTCAGGCTGATTGCTCTAGTCATCCGCCAGGATGAAACGTGGCTGAGGATGACGATGGTTCATGCCTTTGTGCATCCAATCAGCCACTGCGAGGGTACCAACACCTCTAGCTGTGCAGTATGTCTCCCAGGGACAGAAAAGTCTCATTGGCGCAGCGGATATGCTGACTCGAATCCCGAGTTTCCTCAAACTGTGTCTGTTATCTTATTCTTATCCTTCAGGCCGTGCGTATGATGCCGTGACGAAGTATAATCAGCTGACCTGACCTTATTGACAACCACCGACTAAACAGTTCCATGCCAGATGATAGGAGGAACCCAACTAGACCAGGCGAGACAAAAACCAACAAACGCTAGTAAGTAGTTAGTTAAAGGTTACACCTGAGTCATGCATTCAAGCATAAAAAAACTCTCAAATCTAGTAAAAGAGAAGAAAAAGCAAAGCGAAACCATACCAAGCCGAATCCAGGCTTTGATCCCGTCTTATCGACTATTTCCGAATCTTCTCATACGGAAGGCATTGGTCCTGAGGCTTCGATTATATTTAGCACATTGGTTGGTTAGCTAGATAGTCAGTCAGTCATTTAGTTAGTCACGACGGTAGCACTGGGGATTTGAAATGCAACTCTCGTCAACTATGGGATGGGGTGGGCCTGATGCGTATTACTCGAGGCATTTTGTAGGACTACAACTTTATGAGCTCTTAACTGAGGTACACTTGGGGCTTAGGAGATGATGCATTAGTAGTAGTACTGGGTGTATATATAAAGGGTTCTTGTGCCCGGATAGATAGAAGCTTGAGCAGACTCACTACTACTACTACTACTACTACTACTACTACTACTTGCATGCTATACTAATAATAAACTTACTCTCGCTACTACTTGTTCTTAACCAGTCAACGGATATACAACACTCTGAGATCGTGATTGCTCTCTTCATTTTGTGCCGGATAAATACTATACATACATCGCTCTTTTTGCAGAGTAATACTCTATCACCACCATCTATTATACAAATCTGATCACACAAGACCATCACCATGGGCCGAGGAGGATACAACGCCCCCGAGACTACTGCGCCAACGCCCGCACCGCCAACTTCGTCCTCTTTTTCTCTATCTCTGTCGCTGCCGCTGTCGCCACTTTCTTTTGCTCCGCTGCTCCTGCAGGGTCGTGGCGGGTACAACGAGCACCAGCCCGTCGCAGAGGCGGTATAGCATACGACGCACCATAGAGGACATCATCCGGATGGGAGAGCATATGTGCTTTATGATTTCCGATATCATTATATAGATCTCCCTCACTTGCCCACACAGAACCTATTCGACTCAGTCAGCAACAAGAACAACAAAAGAAAAACAGCACTCTACCACACTATAATACATAGCAACTTACTTTTCAAACACAACGCCCAGAACATCTTCCACGTCTCCGCTTTCCCCACGGCCCGTAATCTTCGCCATGGTATCAGCGGCAGAGCGCAGGTGTTCAGCGGCGGTGACGATGTCAATGTCCATGTCCATGTCCGTTTCTGGGAATTCATGAGCGAATTGGCGAGATGAGGAAGGCATAGGCGTCTGGGATTGCGGTTGAGTTTGCGTCAGGAAATCATCTAGGTGTTCGAGACAGCGTTGTAAATTAGAGCTTTGGCGATGCGTCACGCCGAGTGAATCTTCCCAATATGCATGATCGTATTTTCCGTTCTCGTCCCCATCGATGCCTGTTGGAGAGGCGATATCCTCGAATGTAGTCATCAGACCTTGTAGAAATTGCTGAATGTAGCCGGGATCGGAGAGCTGGCTGGAACCGGGGCTGGTGAGGTTCAGGCCGTTGGTGGCATCTAGACAGGAGATGCCGAAGATACGCTGGCGCTGGTCCGGGGCCGCCTTGAAGAGTTGGCTGACTGTCTCGATGAGCTGCGCGGGCAATTTACCCTCCGGTAATCGGTCACATTTGTTGATGGTTACGACGACGCACTTGCCGGCGCGAGCGCAGTCGTTGGCTGCGTCGACGACCTCCTGCTCGACGGCGAGGCGGTACGTCGCTGTACCATCGGTGGCTTCTTCTACTGAGACGACCACGATGACCACGTCCGATTCCAAGGCACGTGCCTTTGCCCGTCTGATGCCCTCTTGTTCCACGGCGCCAATCACAACCGTCTTCTTCTGTCCGGTAGGATCATTTGGCTCGGAGCGTATCCCTGCCATGTCGCCGAGCTTGCAGTACCAGCCGCCGATGTCGACACCGACATCCACGATGTCCCGCGTGGTGCCTTCCTCAGTGCTAACGATGGCGGCCTCTCTGCCAACGATTCGATTCAAAAGCGAGCTCTTCCCCGCATTCGGGGCCCCCAGGAGAGCGACCTTGATTCCGTTACGTAGGAGCTCGCCCTTGGACGCATTCTGGATGTGAAGGGCGATTTGAGCCCGCAGAGCCCGCACCTGAGCCGCAACCGAGGACACCAGGTCCTCGGTGGACTCGTCGAAATGCTGATCCTCTGAGAAGTCAATCAACGCCTCTAGTTCGCCGCGCGCATAGAGCAATTGATGTCGCCATTGTTCGTACCGCTTCGATAGCGCATCGCTGGCACCCCGGACAGCAAGCCGGCGCTGTTGCTCCGTGTCAGCGGACAAGGTATCGCCCAGGGCTTCGATCTGCGGGAGGTCTAGGCGGTTGTTCATGAAGGCTCGACGGGTGAACTCGCCGGGTTCGGCGTAGCGGACTGTGTAGTCAGGGTTGTTTGTACGCGAGATGGACGACAGAACGGATTTGACGATGGCTGGGCCACCGTGGAGGTGCAGCTCGAGAACATCTTCGCCAGTCACGGTCTTCGGGCCGGGGAAGTATAGGACTAAGGCGCCGGCGTCGAGGACGGTGTTGGGGGAGGGTTTCTGGGAGGGATCGTACAGGGTGCGGACGACTGCGAGGCGGGGCCGGGGAAGAGGTGCTTCTGGACAGAGAGATTTGTAGATCTGCGTGAGTGAGTGACGTTATTAGCTGCCGGCGCTGCTGAGCTGAGTCGGGAGGAAATTCAATGGCAGAAGTGAGCTCTCATACTTGCACACATGCAGGTCCCGATGCCCGCACAACGGCAATGGCAGCCCGTCCAGATGCTGTCGAAAGCGCATATATGGTGGAATCGGCATCGAATATGGATTGAGCTGGTGAGGATACTGAGAAGTATCGACGCGGAGGCACACGCGGAGACGAGCTCCGGGCATGGAGAGCTGGACCAGCGCCCTGCCGGGCCACGGTGAAGCACCTACTCCATGATGGGCGAAAGGGTGTCGCCCACCGCAGGGTCCGGACGGCCGATGATCGCATACGCGAGATGAATCTAAATAGGCGCAATGGGCAAACGAAGAGCAATTGCCGATCTTCGAGGCATGAGAGAAGGCGAGTCTCAACAATGAGGGTCGCCGCATCGCCGCATCGCCGAGGTCACGTGATACCACTGCGGCGGAAGGAGAAGTGTCTCTTTATTATAGTTATAATATTGAAGTGAATGAAGCAGGTGTGGTTCAAGAACTACAGTAGCAGCCTATGCAAGACAAGGTATTCATGTAGACAGATCCAGGAATCCAGTAGATGTATAAAAGCCAGATCACAAGGGCCCTGCGCCCCTTCGCCACGCCTGCGCGCCGAAAAGACACAAAGACTCGGCCATGCGCCACGGATTCCTTCCCCGTAGCCAAAATGCAATAGCGGCTCGAACGACATGCAGATATAAACGAGGAATGAAGAAAAGAGCAGAGCGAAAGGAAGTATGTACACAAAGAGATGACCGGAGCAACAGTGGGGAAGCAAGAATAGGTTAGAAGTATGAAGGGTGATTGGGAATCGCTAGAAAAAGGTGAACAATGTACCTTCGAAGAAAATGCGGAGGGATGCCCGGAGAAAGTAAGAAATTCAGAAAGCCAGGCAGGCCAGAAAAAGAAAGGGGGTAAGTTCATCCTGGCATAGTATACACTCAAAACAGCATAATGAGATCTTTCCGAGACGACATGAGTTAGTCTATCAAACATTAGATTAGGAAAGAGGGGGGGAGGAAAGACACTCCTTGCGGACAAGGAGGAAAGGATGCAAGATAAAAGAAAAATTGGCAATGAAATGAAATCAATAAAAGAAGGATGGGAGTAGCAAAGCAATAGTTGCCCAACTACTCAATTGATCTGCTCGACGGTGAGCCTTCCATCGGTTCATCGTCACCAGGCGACCGAAGCTGTTGGTCCGCTGTGGGTGATACCACGATTGCCGGCGTCAGAGGCGGTTGAGGAAGGGGATCGTCTCCAGATCGAGGACTCGCTGCATCATCCGGCTCCAGCTCGGTTCTGGGAGGTGAAATGGGTTCGGGCACGGAGGTGGCCGCAGAGCCCTCAGCGCTGTTATTGCTGGTGCTGCCTCCATTTCGTCTCCGTAACCTGCGTTTCCGACGCTCTTCTTCCGCTGTTTCTCGGCGTCTTCTCATTCGGTCGCCGTCCATGTTATCGCGTAGGCCCTGCAGCATGCTCGCGGCACGGTCTGCCACGTCTTCGCTCTCGGATACATGTTGCGGATCCTTCTTCTTGCTCTCAGAAGATTCCGCTTCGAGGAGGGGAGGACTCAGCAACCCCAATTCGGCGGCATTTGCTTCGCTGTCAACGTCGTTGCCCGCCTTGTTGCTAGTTCCATCTTCTTCGGCTTCATTCCCTCCTTCCGGCGCCTCAGCTCCAGCAACATCCGGCATCTTCTGGCCAGAAGCAACGCGGATCTGGTGTCGCTCCTTTAGCCTAGCACGACGACGACGGTCACGCTGGTCTCTGGCTTGGGGCGCAGCGGCGCGGAGCTTCTCCAGGAGCGAATCCATGGCCCCACTTGTAGCTGGCGACGGTGGTGCGTCACTAGCAGAGGCGGCGCCATTAGCAAGACCGGCATTGATATTCCGCTTGCGAGCCAAGGACGCCTCGGTGCGTCTCCGGCTTTCTTCCAGCGAAATGTTCTTCTCCTTGGATTTCTGCACAGCCACTGGTTAGCAAACATTCTTAAGAGATACTTGACAATCAAACTTACCTTCCACTCCAGCAAGAAGGAAGCCAGCTTTGCGAAGAAGTCCCGTCGGGCACCCTCATCGGAATTATCTTCTCCATAGAAGACCATGATGTCATCGTAGGATTTTATCATCTCATCCAAATAGAGCTGCATCTGCTCGGCTTTCCGTCTAGCATCCTTCATGCTCCGCTGAACGATCTGGCTAACGCGATCCTGGGGGTGGAACTTCTTGGGGTCACTGAGATTTCCGGCGTCTAAGCTGGCCTGTACATTCTTGATGTTGTCAATGTACTTCTTTGCATCCGTCCGCAGCTGGTCGACGTTGAGCTTCTGAATAGCGATGACACCATTGATCTCGTCCACGAAGCCTTCCCATTCGGGATACTGGTTACGAACAATGCGCTCCACCAAATCAGCAAAAGTGGTCTCGTTCTTGTCATCCTTGACCATGCCCAGCCGGGCAAGAGAGCTCAGCTTGAAACCTTGAGCCTGCTTGTTGGCGTCGTTCATGAAGTTACCAATGTCCAGGATCAGACCCAGGACGTTCATCAGTGAAACAGAGTCTCTCAGAGATTCGCTGACCTGCACCACTTGTTGCAGCTTGGCGGAGATGTGCTCATAATCCACTTCGAAGGACCGAGTCAGAGCGAGAGCGCGCATTCTCGCCTTCCAGTAGTGGTTGAGCTCGTACGCGGTGTATAGGTAGATCTGATCTTCCCTCGTGAGCTCATTGGGGTCTTGCTCTCGCTCCGCACTAGCAGCATCGGGGCCAGTCCAGTCCCTGCTGTAGGGCGCCATCGACTTGGAAATATTCTCCGGGATTGTGCACATTTCGTCTCGCTGCAGGAATTCCATGACGACCTGGTTGTCCAGAATGTCTGTGTCGCAATGGATAATCATGCGCACCACATCGTCGGCGGGGAATTGCGAGAACTTGGCCATTGCGATCTGGAAGTTCTTGGACAACTCGTTGGAGATGAGCTGTTTCTTGTCCTTGCGCTGCTTGGCTGCTGCATTGCCTCCAAAGATCTTGGTCTCCTTCGCCATGAACAATCTTTCAACCTCATCCAACACACCCTTCTTGGCTAACTCTACATATTTCTCTTCCTTCTCCTGTGCAGTGGGAGCGTGAGCCGCCCACACCGTCACCTGTGGAGTATCAACCTTCTCCCAGTGAAGAGCCTTGAGCTTCTTCTTTGGCCGGATAGAGGGCATAAGAGCTGTCTTGTGTTGAGGAAGGGCTTGAGAGGCCATGTAGTTGGCTCGCCATCCGCCAAAGCCTGCGCCAGGAGGAGGCGGGGGAGGCGGAGCACCAAATGAAGCACCTGGCGGAGGGGGGGGCGGCGGCGGAAATCCTGCACCGCCCGGAGGAGGGGGCGGAGGAGGTGGAGGGGGGATTCCAACCTTTCCTCCCGGCGGCGGCGGGGGAGGAGGGGGCGGGGGAGGGATTCCGACAGCACCACCAGGCGGCGGCGGTGGAGGGGGAGGGGGTGGAGGAGGAATGCCCACAGCGCCTGGGGGAGGAGGTGGTGGTGGTGGCGGCGGCGGGGGGGGAGCGGGCGCCCCCTTGGCCTCGGGCTTCTCGATTTCACTCTCAATCTTGGGTTCGTCGATGACAGGCGCCGTGGCTTCGGGAACGTCAGGTGCGGCTTCGTTGTCGTCCGCGTCGATCTTAGGAACCTTCGAGGCAATTTCTCCAAGGAGGCCGTTCGCCTGCTTAGGGTTAAGTCGTGGCCGATGGAGGTCGACCAGACGCGCCTTCTCGTAGATGATCTCTCCGTTCTCATCCACCTGACCCTCCTGCTGCTGACCCTCGACAATATCCTTCTCCATGCCGGGCAGATGGCTTCGCTTGCGCTGAACAGATCCCAGACCCGCAACGTGATGAACCTGGTCTTGGAACCCATCTTGCGGTCCAACATCACCGTCCATTTGCTCACGAAGTTCACGCAGCCGGTCTGAGGTCACATGTTGACCCCATACCTTGCCCTCCAATTTAAATTGGGTCTTGGTGCGCTCGAGCTGCATCTCCAACCGCTCGAGGAGCTTTTCACGGTCCATGATGCCCCTCATATGGGATGGATCGACTTCTGCGAGGTTGTTCTTCTTTGCATTTGAAGCGGCGATGTCCTGGGCGTCCCGAAGCATCAGGTAGAGCTCTCTAGTTTCCAGTTCGTTCCGTTGCAACTCCTGGGCGCGCAAGCGTTGAACATCGGCGAGCTCGGCCCGTATTGACTCCTCCCGTCTCCGTTGAAGTTCGATGATGCCAGTCTGCTCTTCGATTTGCTTCTGCAACTTCTTCACTAGGCCGTCTGCACCCAGCTCAATCTGTGCCTTCATCTCATCCCGCTCTGCCAAAGCAGCCTCCGCAATCTGGCGCGCTTCTAGGGACTCATCGTACGCCTGTCTTGCCTCTGAATCTGTATGTAACTTATCCAAAAGGCTCTGCACGGTAAATGTTAACCCTTGGCGGAGATCCAGATCAGGTAGCCTGCGGTCCATGGCCACGTAGCTAAGCATGGCGTCGACGAGCTGGTACATCCGGAGACCATCTTCGCCGGAATTCTCCCGGATGAGGAGCATGTGTTGCATAGCAGAGAGAAAGTAGTCGTGAGCTCGAGTACCTGTGATCCTTGACGCAATAGCGTCTGTAATTTGTAGAGGATCGCTCATGTCCTTCACCTCGCCCTCGATGCTATCCTTCACGCTGCTACTCTCGCGTTGCAAAAGATCCTCGTAGTCGATGGCCTCATTCTCGCGGAAGCGCTCAATCTGCTTGTCAATGACCTCATATTGGAAGCCTTCCATTTTAGTCATGAGACGCTTGATGCCGCAAGAGGTGAACTGCGCACGAATATGACAGCGGAGCTGCAGATCGTTCTCCGGGGCGTCCACCAACATGTTAATGAGGAGCATGGTTGAGACGGCATACTCCATGAGAAGGTTTTCCATGCCTATACCACCACTGCGGTATTCCTCGCTCGCGCCCACCAGACTACCCATCTTTCCACGGCCATCGATCGTCACTTCGACGATACGCATCCAAGCATCGAAACGACCAGTCTCTCCATGGTGGTTCTTCACATGGTCCATAGCCTGGAGGACCTTCTGATGGCCCTGCCCTTCGGCCCAGTGGCAAAGGAAGGTCAAGACTTCACTGACCAACTTCCTTGTATTTAGTCGGGGAGACAGCAGCGAGCTGACAAGAGCAACAATAACCTGCTGATGGGCGAGGGCATCATCTGCGCCGTATTTGTTGTTCATCAAAGCCTTTAGGCACTTGACGATATCATATTCACGATCCAGATCCTTGTCACCAGTCGGGGGTGCAGGAACAGGACCTGAAGCTTTTCTCCGGTTGATCTTGGCAAGAACATTTGTCAGGGCAATTTGGCCTTGTGCTTCGACAAAGGCTTTCACCCAACTGATTGGTTGTGTGCGCAGACTGACGCTCAAACTAGCTAATTGTTTCGACGTGATTGAGTCATCCATAACCTTCTTCACGTACCACTCTGGGCTTCCCTCTTCATCGGCCCGCTCCAGAATCCCCGACGGCCCGTCATGGCCATGGGTCTGCCGGGCATTCTGCCTGCGCTTTTGTTCGCCTTGAATTTCCGTCAACCGATCTTGATGAACAAGGGTCCACTTTTTCGAGGCTGGATACGCAAGCATCTGCCGCTTGGCCTGCTCAGGCAGATTCTGCCAACCTCGCTTCTGCATCAGTTCGAGGAACAGCTGGTCCACAATGCGATCATCCCTTGGACGGGTCAAGTATTGCTCAGGGTTGCTTGGTAACTTCGCAGGTTGCGCGGGCTGGGCCGACTGCCACGCAGCCTGCGCATTAGAAAGTCGGCTGGAGGTCCCATTAGATGAGTAGGTGTTGCGGTCGGCAGAGTGGGAGGTGGTCAGTGTTCGAGATGAACCGTCCGATGAGAAATAGCTCGAACCTCTAGTGTCCCGGGTATTGGAAGAAAGTGACGAGTGGACACTAGCCTGATCGAACGATATTCGGGAATGCGACGAGGAATCTACTGTAGATGAAGAGTTGTGACTGAACCCTGTGTTGGCAGCCGAGCTCCCCGGTCGTCCCCATTGTTGATACCGAGCACCTTTGTCCCCCGAAGAGCTTCCCGCCATGGTTACGTTAGACGCATGTGGTGGCGGACGAGGGCCGGTGGGGTGAGAATAAACATTATTGTCCCGGACTGTGGCCGGGTTCCAAGCGGGATACTGATGGAAATCACTGCCTCCCTTGGCAAGATGATTCGGGGACGGTTCTTTGCGTGGCGAGGTTTCGGCTTTGGAGAGATAGTCGATGGGAATCGGCGACTTGGTGTCGGCGGGGAGACTTTCAAAGGGGATGGAGGTAATCACACCTGCCGTCATTGACAGCGCTGCAGGATCGATGTCGTTGGAAAAATCCATGGACTGGACGGAGGATCGTTTGGAATGGCGAGAGGAACGAGAACCCGGGGCGCTTCCAGGAGGCGCGAGAGTCTCGAAGCCTGTATGGGCATCGTGGCGATCGTCTACCGGTTTCTCCTTGTGCAACTTCCTCCCGAAGAATGATTTCCCAGCGGAAGTCTGTCTCGATTTGTCAGGCGCGGACGTGGTGGTTGGCATCTTGACGGACGTCGCTGGGGAGATGCAGGGCGCAGCATGAGCGTAATCCGCTGGGGCAAGAGCGTTGAGGTGACAGACAGTCGTCGGAGGTTGTAGATTGAGAAGGATCGGTCGCTCTCAGTCTCTGCGAAGGCCAGGATCACATCCAGCTCAAGGCGACAACTTATTCCAGACACTCCTGACTAACACTAATTAATAGCCGCTGCGGAGCAGCGTTGGCACGAGGGGGGTAAAGGATGCCACCAAAGGAAAGACGGACGCTTCTCCCAACAAACAGATGGAGAAGGTGACTTGAAGGAATGACAGTCAAAGGAGCGGTCTGTAGTGACGGCTCCCAGTAGGGCTATCCTACTCTGGCAAATCCCAGGATCGGGCTTTAGTGGCTGGAGTCTTTTTGCACGTCAGGTCGTGGAAGCACGGGCATCAGGGGGGGCAGCACCACTTGAGGCGGCTCTAGAACGCGGTAGGGGCCGGAGGTATCACGTGAATTACACCATTCATGCCTCAGGAAACTGGCCATCACTTCCCGATCACGTGGAGTTGTCGCACGCCGGAGACTCCCGGAGATGCTGTCTGTCGGTGTCAAGATTCAGGGCAAACCCCCGGATTGCTGCTGCTGCTGCTGCAGAAGACCGCCTGGTAAGCCAGCGTTGGGAGACGGTCAGCCTGCCAGTCACATCGGATTACCCTAAGTGCCGTCGCAGGTTATGACAAGCCCCCGCTGCTAATCGGGAATCATTGGCTTAATTTGGCGCCGTGTGTTCGGCGCCTATCTATCTACTTCCTTCCCGCTGCTGCCTTGGCCGCGCATTCTCGAGATCAAGATCCGTTACAGGAAGGGCATTGAGCACCACACGCACACACGCCACGATGGGTTCCGCAACTAATTTTGCCAAAGTATGCGCTCTTCTAGATTCTCCTGATCTCCGGATTCTTTCTAACAGACACTCTCTACACAGACCATCATCATCCCCGCCTTCATCTCCCTAACGCTCTACCTCCTCTTCTCCTTCGTGATCATCCCCTTCTTCCGTCGCTATCATCAACGATACTCGCAATATCTCCCACTTCATACTCTTTCTGCGCACACTAAAACACTCCGGGATCGTATCGCGGATGCCTTAATGCGACGATTCCTCCCGTCGGTTTGGCGACAATCACAATTCGACGATCAGCACGACAACATCAGTATATATGATGAAGAAGGAGAGATTATGGTAGGGATGGACATGGACCCGTCACGGCGAGAAGCGCTCGAACGCCGACGGAGTACAGCCGGGGATGCGGAGAGTCGATTGAGCCGTGAACTCGAAGCGGGGTTCATGGATGACAGTGATGATGACGAGAGACATACCCATGCTCAGTCACGTCGCTGAATTCTCTCGCCTTCTGTACATATTACATTACCATGTTAAAGGGACAATTGGCGTTTGGGAAGGGTAATAAATATAATAGACATCTATTCTTGCTGAACCTTTGCGGTACAGATAGAGCCCAAGGCACGTCTGTCTGAATAAACTCGATGGCACTACTAAGCTACCTGCATGCGTACATAAAACCAATGCATGCACTGATAATCACCTCAAGGGATATCTACTCCGTCCGTCCGGATTTATCTATTTAGTAACTCAATCAACCCACCCCTTACTTCATTCATCTCCAACCCCCACGTCGCAACTCTGTTCTCCAACACCATCCAACTGACCCCAAACAAACAACCCAAAGAAGAAGGTACATACCCAACTCCCCTTCACATGCAAATAGGTCCTTTTACCCAACCCAGCCCGACCTAAAGAGAGACAGAACAAGAAAGAAAGAGAAAGTAAGAGTAGATCACTAAACCAACAAAAGTATATTATCCGAAACTATACAAACTCAATATCTATCTCTCACTTGCGAGGGAGTAATCGTAAAACTAAAGCAGTATAATTTCCCACTAAATCAGAGGCTGGTCCGTGGTTCTGGCCTGCTGGGAAGTTTGCCGTGGTCAAGCTTTTGTTCTTTTGGGGGATCGGCGCCCCACTCTCTGCATTTATCCTTTTTGCTTGGTGGGGAGTAAGTTGTGGATTTTGAAATGGTATGATGAAGAAGATTGGACTAAAATGACGAGCTGGAATATGATCCAAGTCCAATGTTGAGATTCGGGATTGGACTAGTTTTGTTTTCTGGAGGAGGGGGGGTTCCTCAATTGTGCTAGTCTGCCTGGAGTCCTGTGTTGGTGTTAGGATGATCGCGGGAAGAGTCCGAAGAGTTACAAGTCTACATTAGGACGTGAGACAAATAGGAACAGGAAAAGATTGAACAGCAGGAAAAAGTTTTGATTTCAGGTATCATATGCTAATCATAACGGGAGGAAATAGGCCGAATACAAATCGATCCATGCATCTCATCATCATCGTCTTCCATTTAGGCCTTGTTGCGCTGACCGTAGGCCTTGGTAACGTAGTCACCGCCGTGGACGATGAGGTCCTCGGGGCGGTAGTCGTGGCGGCCGGAGAAGTAGCTCTCGAGGATGGCCTTGGTACCGTTGGCGTAGCGGATCTGGGCATCGATGGAGGTACCGGACATGTGAGGAACCATGGCGTTGCCGCCGCCCCAGGGGCCCTGGACAGTACGCAGAGGGTGGTCGGCGGGGGCGGGCTGAGGGAACCAGACATCACCACCGTAGCCGCGGAGGTGGCCAGACTTGACGGCCTCGGCGACATCCTCCTTGACGACGATGGCACCACGAGCGGTGTTGACGAGCCAAGAGCCCTTCTTCATCTTGGAGATGAGCTCCTTGTTGAACAGACCGCGGGTCTTCTCGTGCAGAGGGCAGTTGATGGTGACAACATCACACTGGGCGAGCATCTCCTCGAGGTTGTCGACACGGCGGCAGCCGATCTCCTTCTCAACCTCAGGGGCAAGGGGCTGGTAGTCGTAGTAGAGGAGCTCCTTGCAGTCGAAGGGCTTGAGACGGCGGAGGACACGCTCACCGATACGGCCAACGGCAACGGTACCGACGACCTTGCCCTCGAGGTCGAACTCGTTCTTAGCGACAGCAGCAACGTCCCACTCGCCGCGGCGGATCTGCTCGTGGGCGGGAACGAAGTTGCGGACCAGGGTCAGGATGGTCATGACAACGTGCTCAGCGACGGAGACGACATTGCAGCCGGTGACCTCGGCAACGGTGATACCGCCATTGGTCTTGTTGGCAGCGTTCAGGTCGACGTGGTCGGAACCGACACCAGCAGTGACGGCGATCTTGAGGTTCTTGGCCTTAGCCAGACGCTCAGCAGTGAGGTAACCGGGGTGGAAGCTGTTGCGGGCAAGCAGTCAGCTAATTAGGTCCCGTAGTTGCCAAGTTCCCAGAGCGGATAACTGTGGGTAGTGGAGTGGGTCACATACGGAGTGGTGATGATGACTTCAGCGTCGACGAGCTCCTTGTCGAAAGTCGAGTTCTCGCCCTCCTTGTCGGAAGTGGTGACCAGGGTGTGACCCTGCTCCTCGAGCCACTTCCTCAAGCCGAGCTCGTTCTCAGTGGTACCCAGTAGACCGGGCTGCTGCTTGGCGTGCTCACCGCCCTATTTGGAGATGGTTAGTTTCTGGTGATTTACGAGAAAAGAAAGTGATGCTATTCGGGTACTTACGTCATAGAGGACCATAAGAATCTTGCCCTGTAGATTCGCGGAGGCGGTTAGCGTACGTGCACCAGCGATCGAGTTAGCCAAAGGAGCAGCCCGGAATGGGCTGCTGGCCGCAGGCGCGAAGGCTCCCTTGGTGGAGAGGAGAGAAGTGGCAGGTCGCCGGAGTTGGCGGGAGAAAGAGCGCATAAATACCATTGTGAAGATGAGTTAAGTGAAATAAGATAAGATGGTTTAGAGATGGAGGAGTTTGATGCTGGTTATGAGACCTATGGCAGGAGGGTCAGCTTGAGGTTTAAATACATCCCGGATTTGGAGAACGTGGAAGTAATAGTAGTAGATGATGCATCGGATTGCAAAGTCGGGGAAGCCGAATGAGCGGCAAGTACAACAGTAACAACGGCGAACAGGGGAGAGCGGGGAGACAAGTGAAAGCATGTGTGGAGAAGCAACTATGGATGGCAGGCAAGCATGCCACAGGGCAGAGCCGATGCTAGATGGATGATGATGCAGGGGGTTGGCTTACCGAAAGCGGCGGTGGAGTTTTAGAAACCTTGGAGGGGGATGAGCAAAGTATGATGAGGAGACAAGCTGTGATGCTATGAGATGCAGAGAGATGAGGATGGAATGAGACCGACAAAGACGGGGAATTTAGCCAAATATATAGACTTCACTGGGTCCTCATTTTTCTGTACTATGTAGTAGGTGAGCACCACAATTGCCCCCCTCCATCCCCTCTTGGCCCATATTCAGAAAGGGTTGCTCCATCCACGTCTGCGATAGGATGGGTCAAATCCGGATAGTACGAGGACACCAGGCAGGTAGTAGCACAAGGCCCTCATCTGGGTTGACCCAGCAAGTGGCAGGAGGGAGGGAGGGGAATAGTTTGGGACCCTCCATTCGCCCCGAGTTGGAGCAAGGAACTGGAACCCCACCAGCCAACGATTGAAGTTGGGCGATCGTCCGCCTCGGCGGCAGTTTCGCATCGGCACGGACGACGTTTCGGTCCTGTTTTGTCTCCGCACGCGGGACAACTAGTAGCACATAGACTCACGGATGGTCGGATGGCTCTGGGTTAACTTTGTATAGATCGATACCGTCGAAAGCTTGAAACCCACCCTCGGGCAGTTGACACATTACGGAGTATGTATTGAACTAGACTAGTAGTAGATGAGCCTTAATTGGAAAATGCGTACAGTGTATCATAGCGGTAAAGCAACTTAAAACAATACCAGAATACTATTGATCGTATATCCCCCAACTTCAGTCACAGATTGATTGCCATCCCAACATGTATTCTAATGCACAATACCCTCGCGCCAGGGGGATTTTCCCAAGGCCATGCGGGGTTCCAGAAATCAAACGGCCATTGGGAAAGGAAATACATGCTTATGGGCTCGTGAGGGGAACCCGAGCCTGGGCCGAAAGTTGCCTGCATGGCCGGAGGTATGTCGGGCGTAGAGTTTCTATGGGGAAACGGAAAACCTGCCAGCCTGTCATCAGCAAGTGACAGACAATGCCAATGGACCTTCTTTTTCCTACGGGTATCGTTGAGGGAGGATCTTTTAGCTCAATTCAGTCACTCCTCTATCCACTTTTTCCCATCAAGCGTGTATCCACCGATGTTCTGCGGACAGAATTACTGCTTCTGCTGACTTCTTTTCCTGATTGGGATAGCTGTGACTTCCCCCTCGTGAGGGGTGGTCTCTGTATCGCCACTATCCCTCATCTGGACTAGTGGGGATGCTGCATGAGGGGTAACCCCTCACCCCAAATGGGAACAGCCAAACAGACAAACTAATAGGAACCGGCCTGGCCATCCACTCACTCCCTGCGAAATTAAGTCGAATTGCTGCTACTGCTGCTACTACTACTCTACTATCCACCCGAGACTCGGAACACCAGGTGCCGTTGATAGCGTGATCTATCTATCTCAGTCTAGTCAGGTCCCTCTTATTTGCCCAAATTGAGCAGCGAGGGGGAAAGAAGAAGGGAAAATGACATGAGGGGACATAAGAATCACTTCTCAAAAGCTCGTCTCTCCGCAGATAAACCCGCCCGTCCGTCCACCCCCCCTAAAAAATGTTCCCTCCATTTGAGGACAACTGAAATTCAAGCACCGAGCGATTTCCGCGTTTCAGCCGGACCATGGGTGCCTTTTGCGCGACCGTGAACAATGGCCCATTCAAGCCATCACAAGAGGGTAAGGAAGACAAGGACAAGGCAGGACAGACCCGCCTGTCAAATGTTGTCAAGTGTCAGGAATACATCATCTTCACCACCTTGGGCGCCTATGAGGGGAAGCCCGGCTCCACCACCTCCTCACTTTGGGACGGCGCATCGCCTTTCCGGCCACATCACGCGATGGAACCTCGTTGGCCCCAACTTTGAGGGGTAGGATTACTGTTGTTGGGTGGTTTAGCCATGGCTTCCGGACTCACGGAGCTCGACTGATCGAAAAATAGGAAATGCGCGCCTATCCTCGGCGGGCGAACGGCCTCCCAGAATTCTTGTTGGAAAAACTACCGACGCAAATAACATTCACACAGTGACCGGCTTACTGACTTCACGGGTCAGGACTGTCGATATTACGCGATCGTCAGTGTCTCAGGGGAGATGGTTACTTTATTTTCGGTCTTGTTGCCTTCTGTCTAATATACATGCATGAGTCTATAGTTACATGCGTTTTTCCCCCGGGAGGATGATTAATGTTTTTACAACAACCGGAGATTCAAGACACTGTAGGGTCCTGCGCGCTAAAACACCACATTCACCAACTTGCCCCCCTTGACGACAATCACCCGTCTCCGCTTGTCCCAGTCGTTCTTCTTCCGCAGCCAGAATTGTCCTTCGTCCGTCTCCAAGATCCGATTGATAATCCAGTCTTGTTCCTCCGTGACCGTGCCGCTAGCTTCGGGCGCGGTCGTGGGGGAGAGCCGCCGGGGGATCGTGATCGTAAATCGCAATTTGCCATTGATCTGGACGGCGACCACTTGGCCACCGCGCGCAGACAGAATATCGGCCTCCTCGGGCTTCAGCAGAGGAGTTGGCCAGGGACAGTCAAAGATGGCGGGGACATTGGTGGATGGCTTCCCCGCAGTCACGGGACCATTGAGGATCTCCCAACATTCGGACGCCAGCGCGGGCGCGATCGGCGAAAGCAGCCGGAGCAGGGAAGAAATAGATAGGTAGAGGACCTGCGGTGAACTGGGCGTCGACGACGACAACGAGTTGGTCAGCTTGGTCAGGTCGGAGATGACAGTATTCAGCCCGTATGGATTTTTCTCAATACAGCTCGTGACAGAGGAAATGGTGCGGTGGGTGGCAAGCACAGCGTCCGCATCACTGTCGCTCAGATCCTGTAGAGAGCTGGGCAAGCCAGTCGCGTGGCCGGAGGTGGCTTTCAAGTCGGCTGGCTGCAGTGTAAACGAGAACGAAGCCAGGCTCTGCTGCGCATCGTTCACCAACTTCCAGAGTCGACCAAACCAGCGCTCAATGCCCACGATCTTCGTTTCGTCCCATTCCAGCACCTCGCTGACCGGAGCTGAGAAAAGGACATGGGCCCGAGTAGTATCGGCACCGTATCTCAACGCACATCCGGTCGGATCGACTCCGTTGTGCTTGCTCTTGGACATCTTCTCAAAGGACACATTGGGCGTGATTTGGGTGCCCTTGATCAGTGGCTTGTCGGGGCTGGAAAGATCCACTTCGGAGGGGTGCAGGAATCTCCCCGTAGACGGCTCCGAATACGTCCTGCCGTGCACCATACCTTGGGAGAGGAGAGTCTTGAATGGTTCAAACGGCGTCGCAACGTTTCCAGCTCGAGCGATTTCCGGGAATAGTTCGGACTGGGAGAGGAACTTGTAGATGAATCGGGCATATAGCAGGTGCAAAATTGCATGCTCGACACCGCCGATGTAGACATCCACCGGGCGCGCAGCCGACGGCGAAAACGGCTGTTCCTTGTTCTTCGGGTCCAAGAAACGGAGGAAGTACCATGAAGAGTCGACAAAGGTGTCCATGGTGTCCGTATCCCGCTTAGCAGGCCCGCCACAGCTCGGACATTTCGTGTTCACCCACTCATGGGATGACTCGAGAGGATTTCCTCTCTTGCCCTTCAGCCAGTCCCCTTCAATCTTGGGCAGCTTGACTGGGAGCTGATCATCTGGCACAGGTACAGGGCCGCAATCGCCGCAGTGGATAATCGGGATGGGAGCCCCCCAGTAGCGCTGTCGGCTGATCAACCAGTCTCTGAGCCTCCATTGTTCGACAAAGTCACCGCGTCCGACCTGCTTCAGATCGGTGACGATCTGCTTCTTGGCCTCGCGAGAGTGAAGACCCTCGTACTTCCAGCACAAGGAGTTCAAATATCCCTCTTGCGTAAAAGCCTTTGCATCCGCGGAGGGAACGATGCTCGCGTCACCACCGTCTGCCCCGGCTTCCTCTTGGGGTCCAACGACAACGGGTATGGAATCGGGGTTCACATTATCTCTGAAAAATGCAAGGTCTCTAGCATCGTGGCCTGGGACTCCCATCACTGCGCCCTCACCGTAGTCGCTAAGGACGTAAGGCGCCGCGAATACAGGCAACTGACGGGCGACATGGGGGCTCTCCTTGTCAATAACATGCAGAGGGTGGGAAGCAGTGACAGTAGACAGTTTGTAGCCAGCTTTAGAGTCGGGCGGAAGCGACGCGGCAGTATCCAGAAATCTGCGCAGTTCCGGATCCTTCTTCGCCGCCTCCAGGACAATGGGATGATCCAGAGAAAGAGCGAGGTACTCGACTCCGTAAAGAGTATCTGGTCGCGTGGTGAAGACATCGATATCGATGTCTGTGCCATTATTGCCATTGACGGCCACAGGGAACTTGATCTTGGCACCCTGCGATTTCCCAAGCCAATTCCGCTGCATGGAAAGAACGCGCTCCGGCCAGCCGCCCGCCAAAGAGTCAAGATCCTTCAGGAGCATCTCCTTGAAATCCGTGATACGGAAGAACCATTGCTTCAACTTCAGCTTCTCGACCTTGGCTCCCGAGCGCCAAGAGAAGCCATTGGCATCGACCTGCACCAAGAGTGAGCCTTTTGAATCCCGTGTGTAACCCATTCCATAGCACCCACCTGCTCATTAGCCAGCACTGTCTTATCAACCGGGTCATAATTGACTAGCGCTTCAGCCTGGTATGCGAGGCCCTTCTCATATAGCATAAGGAAAATCCGCTGGGTATGTTCGTAGAACTCCGGTGCGCACGTTGCTAGTTCCTGCGTTCGACAACCAACATGTCAGCAAAGCTGGTAATCACATAGCTTGCACACTCAACACACATACCCGATCCCAATCGAAAGAGGTTGAAATACTTCGTAATTGCTCTTTCATCTTTGTTATATTCGACTCGGTCCATTCCGCGGGGTCTATCCCCCGTTCAATCGCCGCATTCTCCGCCGGCAAGCCAAACGCATCCCAACCCATTGGATGAAGGACCTCATGTCCGCGCATCCGGTAAAACCTAGCCAGCACATCGGAAATAGTGTACACGCGCAGGTGCCCCATGTGTAACGTCCCGGAAGGGTAGGGGAACATAGATAGGATGTATGATTTGGGTTTTGCGTCTCCGTCCGCCGATGTCTTGGAGGGCTTCTTCAAGGAATCTGTTTGCCATCTTTCCTGCCACTTCTTATCCAAGGCCAATAAATCGAGCTTCTTGGAGATCGAGGTTGCAGATGCGGTGGTTGTCGCATATCGAGAGGGAACAGCAGTCGGTCGTAAAATCGGACGGGATGCGCAGTTCCATCGGGCTGGGTGTGGGAGCGCCGACCGTGTCGGGCTCAATCGAAAACGTAGTAGGGATTGCATGTTGGTCGTATAATCATTATGCCGCGGGGGAGGAGTGTCGCGCCATTGACTGGCGTGGATTGGTGGGTTGGAGAGCTGGCAGTGGTGGCATCTCCGTCAAGATTTCTTGATCGGATGGCTGAAGTCATCGGCGGATCGGCATCGCCCGATAGGGAATAGTGTCAGGGAACAAGCAACATTGGAAGACACATGAGATTGTCAGACATCAGTTCAATCGAAAGTAATATGCTATTCAAAGCCGGTTGTAGCTTTTATATGATATTTGCCTCGCCCGTGAATTTAATAGTAGTATGTATAAATTTTATGGGATGGCTACTAGTAGTGCTACTAGGAGCATCTATTAGTTACTCTATCCTGCGGAAATATATAATCGCAGTTGGCGACAAGGAAGTATTCAGACTCATAAAATGCCTGAATATAAATACTATAAGTGGTAAGCAGTCCACTAGTTCACACATGACAGACAGTAGAAAGACAATAACCAAAACGCATCTTATGAGATCGGTGACAGTCCCATACTATCCATAGACTGGTCTTGCACGACACTGCGAATGTAGCGTAAGCTTGGATTGAAACTGCAAGCCGTTGGACCCATAACCAGTGCGAATACTCCGATGTACACTGCTACCCAGCATAAAGCTCTGGACTCAATTAGAAAAGAAACTCGTAAGTAGCTGGTTGGACTGGAGCACCATCATAAAAGCCAAATTATTGGCTATGTACTTCCAACAACACCTGTTCTAGCTATGATATCAGACCACCTCGCAGAGACTCATGACGAGAACAGCAAGAATGCGACCAATAATGATGGGGTCTCTATCTTCTAAGTTCGAGTGACCGCAGGCTCGGCAGGTACCCGTTGTGCCTAGAGACTTTAGTAGTATCTAGAATTCTAGATTCTCGCACCTATCCGTTGGGCTCGGAGACTTGCCGTAGTCTAGTTGGATTCTCGAGCTCCGACTCGCCATCCACCCACAGCATGCATTGGAAATCCCGTCCGCATCGCCAAGATTGGATCTAGATAGAGCTTCTCGATCCCATCTGCTTCTACTCATCTACTGGACCAGACCCTTTCTTTAGACGCGGGATCTTGAATCTCATGGCCCACGTATTCACGAACACCCGTTCCACGGAATCACTCCCTGAAGAATTTAAGGAGGCGGCCTAGACATTCCTATTGAGTAGTTACCTACGGGGCTCCACTCACGGAGTACTCCGTGCGAATTTCCAGATTGATCAGGAGCAGAATCTATTTCTGACTCAGTTTATGAAGGCCCGGTTGCTGGGATCAGCCACCCTCGGCCCGGAAGGTGCTGCATACGGAAACTGACCTCCTTTTTTCTTTCTCTTTTCCAGAGTGAATCATCTCTTATTCGGACGGCGGCTCCTATAGTTCTTCCATTTAGGGGTAAATGCACAAAAAGGAGAGCTATTGTAGGGGAAATGATCTTATCCTTGGTGTTCCATATTGCGGCTGAAGGACGGATAGACGCTCTAGAACCTTTTCATCATCACTCTCGTATGCGTAGGGACTACCGGGCTATTCATGGGACTCTAACCGGCCCTTCATATAGATGACCAGCAAGCCACAGCACGCCGGCAACTTATTCCATACATGGTGGTAATATAGAAGCTGTGAACTTGATTCCCGACGCGTTGATGACGCTCGTGCTGTGCAGAGCTGTATGATCCATATATGGCCAACAGTGGGGGTAAACACGAGCTGGAGTAAACGACGAAGCGTACCGAGGCAGAGATAGATATAGGGGAGCCTGCATCGCCTCGAAATGCGTAGATCGATCGGCAAAGCAGTCTATTTTTTGACCATTCTGTCGGAATTGCTCATCCGTCGTCATTGATTTGATTGCCGCACGCGTGGAAAGGGAGCAGAAGAGTCATTCGTGCCTGAATGCCCAGGCAAGAATCAAGGGGTCACGGGCGGCAAGTAGGAATCTCGGGATCGGACGGATTTCTCCCCTTTTTCTTTTCCCTCCACCGAAGCTCCCGCCCGGTTCGAGGATCGATTGATTTGAACCCAGAGCTTCTGCTGGCCGTTCCCGCTTCGATCTTTGGATCCGGTGGGCGGAGCGGAGATGAATCCCCATCTTTTTCTGTTCACGAACCATGGGTTCAGGGTTTCCATTAGTACTTAGGAATATTCCATCCGTGTCAGCCATGTCTTGAGACCATAAAATCGTCATCTCTTCTTTCCTTCCCCCCCACCACCCACCGTCACCCTTGGGCAAGGTGATTAATATTAAGCAAGTATGGTAGCTCATCTCGCTAATCCAAACCGGCTTGACAGAGACTCCACTTGGGATGAGTTGGCAACCTTAGAAACTGGGTTGATCCTTAGCTCTCTCTGCCTTTCAGGATTTCTCTCAATTGGCCCCTATCATTGGGCTATGCCGATGACAAAAGGACCAAAATTCCCCTCTCCACTGCCAATGAGACCTTCTGGAATGGCCGGCCTACCATGACCCCTCAGCCACATCATCTCAGTGGATCTCGATCGCCGGTTCCTGTCGTCCTCCCCCCTCGAGGTCTCGCACTCCACTGGTTGGACTGGTCACAATCGGAATGGATGCCTCGTGGGACCGATGGGAAGGATACCCCAAATGTGACGAGTAGTACGTACCTGGATTTTGGTAGGTATCTACAGGTGGGTGGGAAAGTAATCGTGCCTGCGGCACATGCGCTGCAACTATTATGTACGACGGCGAGACCTTGCATTTCAGCCGTGGGGAATTGCGTCCCAACCAACCTACTACGTGCTCGTCTTTCTTGTTCCTGCATGCTGGAAGGTTAGGGGAGGATGATTGTGTCTGTCGCCTGTGGGCTGAGTGAGGATCAAAAAGAGCCTGCCTGCTCTCCGGGAATAATCAATCACTGCACTCTTTTAGTCTGGGTTTGTCCTAATTTCTCAGCCCGAGGATATTATTAGAGCAACACACCATCACCACCGGAACAAAGCACCACAGATAACTGGATATCATGGGAGGGCTTTAAATCAGCATAATTTCGTATTCCGTGGACAGCATTATTATGAAGGAACATATTATTATTAGAGTTGATTGGCGATCGGGGACCTTCTGACCCTACTCCTATGTCTTGGAATATGACGAGGAAAGGCGTTCTGGAGCCCAAAGACAGAGCTTACGAGAACTAGTTCCAGACCCTCCTGGCGGCCATCCCGCGATCCCCGTTTAACTTAGCCAGGCGAATTGGGAGGCGGGCGTCTTTCCCCAATGCAGGTGGACAAGCGACGAGCTGCAGGACCATTCCTTATCCGCCAATCGTGCGGTTTCAAAGCGGTGCTCTAAAGCATGCAGCCTGCAGCGCCCCTGGATCGTCCATCGTCCATTGACTGGCCGTTCACACCGCCGCTGCACAACTGGCTGGCTGGTTTGAGTGGGAGGGCCGAAGTCCGGGGCTCCTTTAAATATTACTACGCCCGGGCTCGTCGTTTCAGGTGGAGGATCTCTTTGCTTCCACTCGTTGTGCCTTTCTGTCGCTCTTTTGGAACTGGTTTGCGGTGCTTTTCTGGTCTCGGGTTAGACGCTCTTTTTCTGTTCTTCGTTCTTTTGGTTGCGAACCTGTCCCGCCGGTCGACATGACTCGCTAATCTCAACCTACTGGCATTTTTTTTCTCTATCGGATCCACTCACTCTCTTTGGCTTCGTGTGCCGTTGGACAGCGTTATCCGCTCTCTTCCCGTCGTTTTGTGTCGAGGCATTCTTTATTGCATCATAAAATTCTAGACAAGCAAACAATCACTATCACCACAACAAACATCAACTGGGCACTGTTACTCTTCTCTCCCCCCCCCGGTTCACCCTCGGCGGCCATTGCTCGCCCTGAGACGTGCCCCTCGGTGGTGGTCCTTGTTGCGGTGCTGTTGCTATTACTCTCATTTCCCAAACCGAGCAGTCGTCGATTATCATTCTCATCGTTTTGAATCTGGTGTTCTTCTAGATCTCTTCCCCCTCCCCTCCTCCACTTCCCCCGAAGTGCCTTATAGAGCGGGGGTGCTCTTTGCTTATCCGCTTTTCGTGATCTTTTTGTTTTTGTTCTCTCAGGACCTTCTGGGGAACTCCCATCCTTTTAACAAGTCTTAATCTTGGTGTCTACTGACTGATAATGAACTAATAATCCCAACATGCGCTCAGCTGCACCGACCTCGAACTCTCCCAAACGGAGAGCTCTTCATGAGCGCACCCCTTCCCATACGAATGAGAACTCCCCACCTTCATCCTTGCGAGCCGTCAGCGAAAAATACAACGATCAGCAGGAACCCGACGTGTACACATCCACGCCTTACCCGACAAAGCCGGAGCAGATCCTTTTACCGCGTCCTGGGAAAGGCCAAGATTTCATTCCGGACTCCCGGTTCCATGTCGACGAAGCGCCGGATCACTATCACGGGAATACCTCCACGGAACTCAGCCACCTCGCCGATAGTAGTTTGATTGACCAGTCGGTTAGCGATCCCTGGGACTTGTCTTCAACATTCGATGCCGCCAACACCCCATCGCAGGTCTGGGAAGACGATCCGTCCTCCAGCAAGTCTTCCTTTCCGGAGCCTGTCCTTCACGACCCCAAGCCGACCGATCAGAAATCGGATCAAGGTTCCGTCGCCGCGTATTCGGATGAGGAGCCAAACAGCCTGCCAAGAGCCGTCCCAACTATTAAAACTGTCGTATCGCAGACGCCGTCACGGGTTCCTTCGGGCCCGGAGACTCTTGCTTCGAGCAACTCCAGCCCCAATGTAGTGCCAATTGGGCCGCCTTCCAGTCCGAATTTCGTCGCGCTCGACAGCTCAAGTCTGAACTTCGTTCCTCTGGGTGCATCCTCGAATTCGGCCTCGATCACCCGCTCTAATTCCCTGTCCTCGTTAAACTCCCTGGGAACGGTGATCCGGTATATTGGAGCCGCTCAGTGGACGCATGGCTCGTCTTCAGAACACTCCAGCTCGCGCTCGCGTTCGCAGTCTGTCCGCTCGAACCCTCCATACCAGGTGCCTTCAGTGCGATCTAATTCAACACGAGCACGGGAAAGGAGTCACTCTCGCTCTGTCACCTCGTCGTCGCGTAGCGGGCCACCGTCAGACATTCAAGCCATTGTTGACAGCGGCGTATTCATCCAATACCCGACCATCCAGGCGCCATCTTCGTCAAGCTCCAGAGTTGACGTGTCACATTCGGAAGAAGATGCATCGGATCAGAACCCACAAGAACCCACCACGGATTATTCTTCGGAGCGTTTCAGAACTCACCTGTCAACCGTTCCTTCCATGTGGTCCGCCGAATGTGACTCGAGAAGCATTTCTCCGGCCGCTGATTCTATTGATAACAGCCAGATGGATCCTAAACGGCCTTCCGCGGCGCTGGTCCGTCAACGCCCCACGTCGTCTTCGATGTGGTTAGTGAGCGATTCGGACGGTGATGAGCGGATGGACAATCTTTCGAGCTTGCCAGCGCGTCCCACAAACCCGGCAGTTCCCTGCAGTGTTTCGTCGGAGTCAAGACAGAGCAGCATGCGGAGCAACATGCGACCTCCCACCAGCGGAAGCTTTTCATTCCACTTTTTGCCAAATTGGGCCAAGATGTACTATGGCGCCGGCGAGCAAGCTGAAGATTCGGTCTTGTCTGGCGCGGAACCCGATCGGCCACCGTCTGCGCGCGCCTCAACCTCCCACACAAATGTTCTCAACCGTTTACCGACCGCTACCAGCCGGACGAGGACGAGGACGTTTGGCAGCGAAATGCGAGAAACTCTGCGGTGGAAACCCGACCCGCGTGATCCACGGAACCACTGGGTAAGGGAACCCGAATCGCAGAGCCGGGAACCATCCCGCCATCGACTTCGACACAGCTGGTCCCCTCATCTGTTTCCCGACCGGCGCGCGGTTAATCCAAGGAGAGGTACCTGGGGTGCACCGTCGCTGGATTCAAGAACGGAACCACTACTTGGCCGAAGAAACATCCAAGTGTGGTCGTTCTGTGTTGGTTTTGTGTTTCCTCTCGGTATGGCCCCATCGTGCTCCATGATAGTCGCCTGAACATGTCAACTGACTGTGTACACTAGCCTGGCTAATTGCGTCATTCCTCCCCTTACCGACGAAACCGGATGCTATTCCGGAGGACGACGTCGAGTCACAGCTCGAAATGACGCTTAGAATGCGCTTGTTCGATCTGGAGACAAGACGACATGAAAACGCTCGGTGGTGGAGAAATCTCAACCGTTGGATGAACCCATTGGGGTTGGTGATTATTACCATTGTGGTATGTTATCCTGTTCACTTTATCTTGGGTATTCAATGCTCATCCTTTCGCAGATCACCTTGGCTGTTGTGGGCACCACAGTGGGCTTCTAGACGGGTACATCTGGCTTCTATAGCGTCAGCATGCCCGCAACTAGCTATGCTCTTCTATCCACGACCCCCTCGATTATTGCTTGTACTACCATTACCCCCCCTTTTCACGCCCTCTCGCCGGCTATGCCGGCGCCTGTTCTCGATTGGATCGATCTTTGCTTTCACCGTTCGGAGTCGATTCCTCCATTTATACCCCCCTTCTTCTTTTGCATGCTACCTGCCCCCCACCCATACCCTTGCGCGCTTGATATTGCCGCATTTCTATTCCCCTGCGGCTGCTTGGTTTGTTTACCTTTCTCAAAACACTCGACACGATTGGACGACGTAATGCTTCTAATGTTCTTTTCTTTTGTGCCTTATATTCCACCTGGTGTTTTGGACTCTGTTTCAGCCCGCCCTTGGACCATTATTTGGTGAACAAACAATGGGGTGGTTCAATCTGGGAGCGTGAGGCGACGGATTTAATTAAGGGTTCACGACATTGCATGGATATATGTCATTTTCCTTTTTACTTTTTTTGTTTTCCTATTTTCCTATATCTTCCCTTCTCCCCCATGTACTTATGGATACATGTTTTACTTATGACACCGTGACCAACATTATCACAGTATATATACAAGTGGTCGTCGCGCTCTGCGTGGCTCCTCTTGACCAAAAATAGACAATATATGATATTATACTCCTCGAATACTCTGTAGACTCATTGTTAATTGGTATGATTATAGACAATTCCGTCAGACTGAAGAGAACAGGAAGTTGCTGAAAATACTCGTCTGGCTTCAACTAAGCAAAAGAAAGTAAGACTTGCTCATTACGCTTATTGTCGGAGACTTCGTAGCATATAAGTATGAACGAATTGAAAGTGTACGTCAGCGCCGGAAAGCATACATAATAGAAGAATAAGAATCATAAGGATGCCACTCATCCCAAAGGAGCACCAACAACGAGACAAGTATGCGCAGCCGCTTCGGAGCAGTAAAAAGTCTAATATACATTCTATCGTCAACCCCATCAATCGTTCTCATTCACACGTGTCGAATTAGTTGGCTCTAAGCCAGACTGGTAGCAGGTCCTGAGACCTGGAGTCTTAAGACCCCTTTTTTTTTTTTTTTTTTTGGATTTGGGTCACATGGGAAGTCACAGGATCCAGATGATCATGTGAGCTTGCGGCCAATCTTGCTTTCCACGACTGCTTTCAGCTCTTCTCCAGTCGGCATGGTAACGGCACTGCCGCGTCTGCGCCTGGCTTCAATTTCACCCCGGATCTCCTGCACGGCCTCATCAAAGGCCTGAACAGCGTCACTTGGAAGACCTAGTGTTGGCTGTTGCAGGGTGTCGGAGCTGGTTGAGCGTGTAACATGAGGCCGGTTGCGGGCCTTGAGCTTCTTGATGAGGATGCCCTTGGCGGGGCTGGCAAAGAAGGCAATGCTGAGGAGGTTGCCGACGATCCCGTAGAAGTAGACGCTCTGCCAAACGCCGATGGACTTGCTAAATCCGAGGAAGATGAAGGGCATCACCGTGAAGGACAGGGTGACTTGAGTCACGAACCAGCTCATAATGTCATAGTAGCGCTTGTAGGGAGTCGGCTTGCTCCCGTCCGGAGTGAGGAAGAACGGGCGTACATAACGACGGAAGTCTGCGCATTGTCAGTACGGGAAATCAATGCACGGGTGGGTTAACCAGGTGAACTCACTCTTGGCTCCCGTCTGGATGAACGATCCAAGGATGAATGTCAGATAGTATCCCGGGTAGAAACCATGCCAGAAAGCGCTGGTCGTAAACGTGGCCAAGCTGGCGCGGAAGCCCGGCTTCTTTCCCCTGGGGGTGACGCGCAAATAGACATAGTTTCGCAGCCAATGGTTGGTGTTCTTGTTCCAGCTGCCCAGATATCCGTGGGAGTTTTGCGCGGTCTCAAGACTCCAGGGATCGATATTCTCCAACCGGTTCCAGAAGACCTTGCCGGACTTGGGATCGAAGCCATTGTATCCCATGCCAGACAGGATACAAGCACCTTCCGTCAGGGACCAGACGCCGTAGTACTTGAGGCGTGCGGTTAGCCCGACCATGTGCATGATCCAGACCCGTCGAGGGAAGGAGTAGCCCATGTATCTGGGACTCAGGATGGTTTCTTGATTGTAGTAAGACCCCAGCTGTAGGAATGCCAGGATCCATGCCAGTCCAACCAGGGCCTTCTTCGTGGCAGGAGTTCCACTGCGAGGGATCTTGCGCTTCTTACGGGTCGGGGGCACCTTCGACGGGTCGGTACCCGGGGGGACTTCGAAAAGAGTAGTGTCGAGCCAGCGACGGTAGTCGACGTATTCAAAGGACGGACCACCGAAAAGAGCCGGGAAGAATAGCACGTAGCCCATGTAGTCCAGGATGCTCGGAAAATGCGTAATCGCGGCATATTTTTGAGGATCTGAGAGCTGGTTTTGGGGAAGTCGACCATCATGAACGTTCCAACAGAAAGACGTGAGCTTCATGACCAGGACCATCTGGGCACCAGTGATATCAATCGCTTGAGGATCGTTGACGATCTGGCGGTAGATGTGGCTGATGGACATGTGGCCCATCAAGAAGATGAAGCCGATCCAGGGCATCAACGATCCATCAATGTAGTAGGCGATCAGATAGGTACCGGCGGCGCTATAGAACAAAGTGCGAAGGCCATCCCATAGGTCGAAAAGGCCAACGAGATAGAACAAGGAAACGGCAATGATGAAGGCATTCTTCTTCCAGGGTTGAGCGTCGGGGATTCTCTTCAACAGACCGGCGAGGGGGTAGGAGAGGAGGAATGACGCAATGAGCTTCACTGTTCAGCGGTGAGGGACTGATTCGGGGGACGAAGAAGGGCCAGGACGGGGAGGGAGAGGCATACGCTCATCAATCGAAGCTCCAGTCGCATTGGCTGGATACTCAAAGACTAGAAAGAGAGCCTTTTAGCATGATCTTCACGCAGGAAAGAGGGGCGCGCATTCTCAAGTGCTGCGACGGAAGGTTCACAACATACTTTGATTGATAAATGGTAACATGGTGGATGCAAATCGCCGCAAAGAACGGGCAGTAACAAGAAAAGGAAAAAGTTTAAGTCACCAAGGCCGATACTTAACTGTGTCGGCACGACATCGAGCCCAGAGATGAAATGGTTGAAGGGCTGGGGAGAAGCAAAGGGGAAAACAAAAAAAATAAGGGCGGGCGGGAACGAAGAAATGAAACGGTAACTATCTCAACGGTCTGATATCACATGGCAGCTCTCCGATCATCTGCGTGTCTCAACCAATCCACCCGCCCTCCAAGTCAACTCACCCTCCTCTGATCTACCACATTTTGGATGCTGATGTATCATCTCCCGTTTCCGATCTTGAGAGTCTAGAATCATTTCCACGGATCTGCTAGACCAACCTTCTTCGTTTTCCTCCTCTTGCCCCTCTCTCCACACCTCACCCCCTCATTCAACATGGATGTCGTCGCGGCGGTGTCGGGTTACATCTCCAAGATGGTCACCGCGGGGGACCCTTCGCCGACAGGTGGTTCCAGCTCTTCATCGGCCAAGATGAAGATATTGCTTCTCGACAGTGAGACAGTGGGACTTGCGATTCTCTCATTGATCCCTGTGGAAGCTGTGCGCTAATCCAACGGCTCCAGGTACCCATTGTGTCCACCGCCATCACCCAGTCCGCTTTGTTGAACCATGAAGTCTACCTCATCGATCGCCTCGATAATGCCGCTCGCGAACGTATGCGACATCTCCGCTGCCTTTGTTTCGTGCGCCCTTCCCCCACCTCCGTTCAATTCCTGATCGACGAGCTCCGCGAGCCCAAGTACGGAGAATACTACATCTACCTCACCAATATTATTCGCAAATCCTCCCTCGAACGTCTCGCCGAAGCGGATTCCCACGAGGTAGTTCGCGTGGTGCAGGAACACTTTGCCGACTTCCTTGTGATCAATCCGGATCTCTGTTCCCTGAATTTGGGCTTCCCACAGCAGCGCTTGTGGAGCCAGTCGCCAGATCTGTGGAATGCGGATGCCTTACAAAGAGCAACGGAGGGGGTCATTGCCATGTTGTTGGCGCTGAAGAAGAATCCGCTGATCCGTTACGAAAAGAACAGTCTGCTAGCGAAGAAGTTGGCCACAGAGGTCCGCTATCAAGTGACGCAGGAAGAGCAGCTCTTCAATTTCCGCAAGACCGATACACCCCCGATCCTGTTGATTTTGGACCGTAGAGACGACCCCATCACTCCGCTACTGACCCAGTGGACCTACCAAGCGATGGTGCATGAGTTGATGGGCATTCACAATGGGCGCGTGGACCTCCGGGACGTACCGGAGATTCGACCGGAATTGCGTGAAATCGTCCTTTCCCAGGATCAAGATCCGTTCTTCAAGAAGAATATGTACCAGAACTTTGGTGATCTAGGCCAGAACATCAAGGAGTATGTTGAGCAGTACCAGGTCAAAACGCAAAACACGATGAACATCGAGTCGATTGCGGACATGAAGCGCTTCGTGGAGGACTATCCCGAGTTTCGTAAACTATCGGGCAATGTGAGTAAACATGTCACACTAGTGGGGGAGCTGAGTCGGCGCGTGGGTGAGGATGACCTGCTCGACGTCAGTGAGTTGGAGCAGAGCTTGGCTTGCAATGACAACCACGCCAATGACCTCAAGGTACGTGGACTCTTTTTTCTCTCTCCGGGACGGAGCTTGCGCCAGACCAGTTGTTGACACCATCTCGTGCAGAACCTACAACGAATCATTCAACTACCTAGCGTTCCTGCAGAGAACAAGTTGCGCTTGGTTGCTCTGTACGCCATCCGCTACGAGAAGCAACCGAACAATGCACTCCCGATCCTGCTCGATCTCCTCGTCACCGCCGGCAACGTCCCATCATACAAGGTCAACATTATCCCTAAACTCCTCGCCTACCACCACTCCTTACAAGCCCCGCCGGTCGCAGGCGGCTTTTCTGACCTCTTCGAATCCACATCCCTCTTCTCCGGTGCCCGAGACCGGTTCAAGGGTCTGAAAGGCGTCGAAAACGTCTACACCCAGCACTCGCCTCGCCTGGAAGCCACTCTCCAAAATCTGATTAAAGGACGCCTGAAGGAGCTGCAATACCCGTTTCTCGAAGGCGGGGGCCATACACGAGACAAGCCCCAAGATATCATCATTTTCATGGTGGGCGGGGCGACGTATGAGGAAGCGAAAATGGTCGCCCAAGTCAATGCCAGCTCACCTGGAGTAAGAGTCGTCTTAGGAGGCACCTCCATTCACAATAGCACAAGCTTCCTTGAGGAAGTCGATGATGCCGTGAGCGGCTGGCCTGAGCCCGCCCCCTCGTCCGCCGCTGGTCGGCTTCAGAGGGCAGTCGGACATTAACCTCTGCTTTGCTTCTTTGCCTCTGTGTATCTGTAGCTTCTTATTATAATATATCCTGAAATCTTAGCTGTTAGTCACTTTCATGTCTGTCTCATGAGTTTGTTCCGCAGATTGTTATCATTAATCTGCAAACACAGGAAATGAGGCCACCTCTGCCTTGAGGTATTTGAACAGAGTATAGTTATGCTTCGTGTATGGTATCCCAAGCCAATCCGGCCAAGCTGCGTGCATAGCTAGTTCATTCTATTAACGTGGCACAATACACAACAGTAACGACGCTCTATCCTGTAGATACATACCCGCTATTTAACAGGGTGTTCTTCGCGTAAATAGATATGCGAAAGGAGAGGAGAGAAAAAAAAGAAAAAAAAAAAAAAAAAAAAAAGAAAAAAGAAAGAAAAAAATAAAGTAGGAAAGAAAGAAAGGATGAGAGGCGCACAACTAACTCCCTACATGATACATGATTCATCCGTTGTCGTATATACATTTGACAGAAAGAAGGTGGTCGGAATAAGGAAAGAGAATACAGAACAAGAAAAACAACATTTGAAATGTACATATACACAAAGCGCGCTCTCTCTCTCTATGTCTGCATTTACGTCGTGATTAAAATAGTGTTTCCTGTGGCGGAGAATGCAACGAATATAGACAGAAAGAAAAAGATAATGCTTGCTGAAATGACAAGAACCTCCCCATTCCCTCTTCTCTCACACCACTAAATCCTTATGAGAAGCGTTTCAGTCATGAGCATTCATAATGCAAGTCTCCTTAGCGTGCCATATTCGTCGTTTCTTGGCCACATCTGCCCCAAAAGTATCCGTGATGATACCATCGTCATCATGGAAAGCCGCCTGGGCCTGTGCGGGTTTGGAAGTCTCGGACTCGGACTCGGTCGCCGGCTTCAGCAACCGTAATTCCTCGACAGTTGCACCGAATTCATACTCTCCTCGGCAGAGAACGGTGACGCCAACAGTCGCCGTGGTGCTTTCGCCGCTATGCAGGATGGGGAGGACTTGTTGGAGCATCCCGGTCCATGCGAGGCGTCGCGACAGATCTAATGCTATGTTGCTAGGTTGGTGACGGAGGCTGGGTTGAAGGCGGAGTAGAGGGTGGACGGGCCGCGAGGAACGATTGAGGACGGTGACGGTGAGGTTGAGCATGTCGTCGGTTCGGACATCGTATTTTGAGCGCCCTGTTTGTACCACGCTCTTTGTGTCACTGGGAAAAGCGGGTTCGAGGGAATATGTCACACCAACGTCTTCTAGCCGGAAGAAGTCAACCATGCGCGCGTTCAAGCGAAGGTTGCGCAGATCGACTATTCCTTCACGGATGCCTGTCTTCTCTTTCCAGAACCCGCAAACTCTCTCGAGAATCTCTTCCCGGTACCAGAATGCCTTGCGTGTCGCTGCCTCGGCTTCGAAAGTGAGCTTGTTGGCACTTACGACAAACTGCCGCTTGACTCCGGTGTTAAGGATTGGAATAGATGCATGTGGGTTGTCGAGATAGGCTCGAGGGAGGACAAGCACAAATCGTGACATCTGGCCTGGCTGGAGCTCTCCGTGAACAGTGTATTTGCCCTCTCCATCCTGGGGCGGTTCTGGAGGCCATTTCATGTCTGATTTCACTGCCTTCTCGCCGACATGCAAGGTGACCGACAAGGCATTAGGCCAGGCATTGCGAAGATCGAGGAGAAGAATACAGTGATCAGGGCCGTATCCACCCCGGGCGAGGTGGGAAAGCACAGGTGAGAACGGATCGCCATCCGCGGATGGGGGTAGAACATTGGTGCTGATTTGGTCAGGTTCTGCTTCTGCCTCAGGGTTGTTCCACCATGCGAAGTCGCTGCTGAGTGGCAGAATGTCACAGCGAGCGACCTCTATACTTGCATTTACCGTGGCAGTCAGTGGGACGAACAACTGGCGGGTATAGAACACGTCAGGTAAGCCCTCCTGCGAGGATCCAATACACGAGTAGTCGATCTGCACGGTGGTGTCCTGTAGACCTGGTTTTCCAACAACATCGATGGTGAATGTGGCGCTTTGGCCTGCTGGAATGGAGTGGTCCTCAGGATTTAAACCTTGTCGGCGCCACCGCAACGCTGGCCTGGTTAAGTTCAGCTCCAGCTCGTAAATTTCGACGGGTAGTAAATCCTTATTGCTCAGGGCCGACTGCACTTGTCTTGTTGTCGAATCCTGGAAGGTAAAGAGGATGAAATCAAGAGGACATGGCGACGTGTTCCGTAGTGTGATGGTGAAGGAGCTCAACTCACCCTCCAGCACCATCAGCGCGGACTGTGACAGGGACAATGACTCAATCACCAATGAGGGCTGTTGGCCAATGACCTTGACCTCGCACACCGATGTGTCAGGGCCTTTCTTGGGAAGTTGTTTGCCATTTCTTGAGGTTGTTGAGCTCCACGAAAGTGGGCGCTCCACAGAAGGCCTCTTGGCCGCAAGTCCAGTGCGCTTGAATTTCCATTCGGCTTCGGGCTTCCAGGGACTCTGGAATATCGGAAACCTGCGCTCTCTGCAGTGTCGGACCTTCACTATGCAGCCAGTAACCTTGAGCGCCCCCTCTCCAGTGGCTTTGCCATAGACTGTGATGTCTTGCAAGCATAGCGGAGGAATCAGGATCCATTCGGCCACGGCTT